TGTGTGTCAGTCAGCGAGCGAGTAAGTGATAAGCATGGCAGGCTCGCACGTGTCTCATCTTAATTGCAGAAACTTAATTGCAGTGGAGTCCTGTAGCTCAGTGGTTAGAGCACTCGCTTTGCAAGCGAGAGACCTGAGTTCAATTCCAGGCAGAGGGCGAAACCTTGGGCAAGTTTCCTTACTCCACACAGAGCCTAATAATAATCCCTCCAAAACCAAAAACAATAATAAATTGGTCATTTTCAATCTACGACTGTTTGTGGGACATTGCTGTGCGCAATTGGCTGCCGCGTTCGCCCACAAATATACAGTCAATTCACTTTACAGTGTGTTCTGTGAAGCACTTTGGGACGTCCTCCCGACGTGAAAAGCGCTATATCAAATGCAAGGATTATTATTATTATAAACTCAACCAGTTTCCAGCAGGGGAGATCTGTACTGAACCATAGAACCAAAGGACACGCCCTGCGATTGAATGTGTTGGTGGGGGGGGGGATAAATTCAGAACAAATCTGCGGAAACACTACTTCAGTGAGCGAGTAGTGAACATATGGAACAGGCTCCCCAGGGAGACAGACGGTGGAAACAGAAAATGTTGTTTGTTTCAAGAACAAATGAGATAGAGTTCTCCTAGAAAATAATATCTCGGGGGGGGTACAGTATATAGTTTGGGACACGACATGTCAAGCGACTGCCAGGATGGCAGGAAGCAAACTAGATGGACCTTGGTCTTCTTTTGCCCAGCAAGTTCTTATGTTCGTACGTTCTGTTTTCCTCTTCTGTGCGAGCTCATACTCATACTGTGAGTCATTGCAGTCATCCTTTCCAAGGTTTGTTATTAACCACCAGTTTAAAATAATAATCATAATAATAATCCTTGCATTTGATACAGTGCCTTATCGCGGCTTTGAGATGTCTCAAAGCGCTTCACGGGTTACACTGTAAAGTGTAGTGACTGCGTGTCTTGTGGGCGAAGCGTGGCATCCAATTGCACACAGAAGCGTCCCACAAACCCTTGTGGATGGAGCGACCAAATTATTATTATTTATTATCTTTTAGGTAAAATGAGCGCTTGTGGTGCTTCGTGCCTGCCAACTGCACACTGGCTGCTCTGCTCTGAGCTGCGCTCCATTTTACAGTGCATTCTGTGAAGCGCTTTGAGACGTCTCAATGACATGATAAGACGCTTTATCAAATGCAAGGATTATTATTATTATGAAGCCACGTGATTTCTTCAGCACAAGTATCTGAGTTGGATGATTAAACTTGCCCCTTAGCGTCTGTAAATGCAAATTGCTCTCTCTGTCTCTCTGTTGCACTTCTCAAAAAGAAGGCAAGAAAAACAACTTTATAAGGTTTCGTTTCCTGCCTGACCTGCGGGATGAGCAAGATAACAATGTCAACATCAGGTGCCGCTTCGAGGCAGGTCAGATCTCCTCGTCTGATAACCGCTGTCTGAGCCCATGCATCTCAAGACCCTCCTCTTCGGCCATGCCTTCGGTCACCCTGCTACCCCCACCGGCCCTGACCCCGTTCCCCCGTCTCCCTTCCTGATACCATCACGCCCAGCTCGGGCGAACGTCTCGATGTCAGAACGCGTGGGGATATTGCAATTGATTTCTGAGAGCGAGCGAGCTACAAAAACAACAACTTGCACTTCTATAGCGCCCCTCACGCAGGGTAGTGTCTCGGAGCGCTAGTGGAGTGGAGTGTGGACACTGTAGGTCTGTGTTGGCTGTTTGCCTCTCTGTTTGCCTCGTGGTTTTGGCTGCGGCTCCGGTAATTAGGTTTTAACTTAAGTTTTCATCGATTTTTTTTTTTTTTTTTAATTTCAAATGGAAAAGCACTTATTCCCAGAACCAGCTGTGCTGTGCTGTCTGATGCTGACTGTTGTTGGGCGTCCTGTAGCTTAGTGGTCAGAGCCTTTGCCTCGCAAGCAAGAGGACCTGGGTTTGGTTCCCGGGTGGGTAGGGCGAAATCTGAGGCCAGTTTCCTTACTCCACACTCGCGCCTCTGTTTACCTGAGCAGTAAGTAGGAACCTGGTTGTTAGCTAATTGGCGGATCGCTTTTTCTGGGGGTAATAATGCCTTCAGCATAAATACAGATAATTTGGTCACTCAATCCACAGCTGTTTGTGAGACGCTGCTGTGCGCAATTGGCTGCTGAGTTTCATCCTCAACATACATACAACAACATTCACTTTACAGCAAAGTTACCGTGAAGCGCTTTGAGATGTTTCGAAGACGTGATAAGGCGCTGTATCAAGTGCAAGGATCGTTATTATGATAAGAGGACTCTCCCCTTCCCCTCATCTCCTGCCTCGTGTGGCTTCACAGGTTGTGGTCCCAGTGTTGGAGACCAGACAGGATGTTGGGTGTTGCACACCCTTTACACACGCGAACCTTTCTAACAGGGAAGCCAACCCTAGCCTCCCTTCCCCGAGCGGAGGGACATTTGTATCTTTCAAAGCCCTCTACGGTCTCGCTCCTCCCTCCCTACCTCTGTGACCTGCTAACTCCATACCGACCTCTCCGCTCAGCAGGCTCCGGCCTGCCCCACGTCCGTCGCTCTTGTCACTGCTTTCCGGCAAGTTAGAAGCTGCTTAAAAAACTGGGCTAAAGGGTGAGGATAGGGAGGACAGAGAGGATTTCTGTATGGGGGCTGTCTTTCTTTGCCTGTGAGTTTAATGTGAGCCTGGTTAATGCAAACACAGCACTGTCTGCAGCTGTTCAGCCTCTTTTGCTATGTCGTCAGCTCCCGTCAGAGTACTGCATCTCATCGAAATCATATGACTGCTCCAAACTGGTGTAGCATCAGTATTAACCTCAGACTGGTAAAGTAACTTGAGAGTAAGAGCAAGAGGAGGGAGTGATCAGATGCTGACATGGAATCGTGTCTCTGAATGCACCTCATTACCAATATTAATAATAATAATAATCCTTGCATTTGATATAACGCCTCATCACTCACCACACACACAAGTCACAAGAGTGTTCTATTAAGCAGCTTCCGTGTCTCAATCTATAATAATAATAATAATCCTTGCATTTGATGCAGCGCCTTATCACGTTGTCGAGATGACTCAAAGCGCTTCACGGGGATCTACTGTAAAGTGTAGTGACTGTTCTGGGACGCTACCCCGCGTGAGGGTGCTGTATAAATGCGAGTTGTTGTCGTTCACTGTTAAGTGTTTTTTTTAGGGCGGAGATCCTGCTTTTGTTGGTGGGGTGGGGAGAGAAGTTGGACGGTTATTTTGGCGTCACATTGTGCTGGCCAAGCAGCGAGAAGGAAACGAGGGTCTATCTTCTATTGGTACATAATTGTCAGATGGAACATTCCCGGTCATGAAATCAATGGGAATTTCCTGCTCCTGTTTTGTTATCGGAATCCCCTTTGCTGGGAGCGGACAGGGAGGACACAACAGCAGCAACAACAACAACAACTCGCAGTTATACTCCACGCAGGGTTGTGTCTCAGAGCGCTTAAAACTCCAGGGTAGACTGCAGTCAGAGAGCTGAGGTTCTCCTGCTCGCTGCACACGGCAGGAGCTGGGGGGGAGGATGGTTGCCGAGAGAGCTTAAGTGCTCTCAACGTGCTTTGCAGCCATTTCCTGTTGCGCGCTGATGATTTGGTTCATGTAGGAAGCGAGTTTACACCACCAACATCTGCAAACTTATGAGGTGCCCTTCGTATAGGTGTAGGAGGGGTTGTGATGCCACAGCAACAACTCGCGTTTATGTCTCGCGCAATCAGTTCACTTTGCAGTGAGTGTATCCTGTGAAGGGCTTTGAGGCGACTCGAAGAGGTGATAAGGCCCTGTGTCAAGCGCAAGGATTATTATTATTATTATTATTGTCGCACCCTTCGTGCCGAACGGTGTCTCGGGAGTGCTTCAGCAAGTGGGGAGCGGGGAAGGGAAGGAGGAGGTGACCCTCTTTATCCATCTTTAAAACCTCCCTCTTCGACCGTGTCTTCGGTCACCTCCCCCTCGTTTCCCTTTCTCTCCTCCTTGCTCGGTGTCCGCCCTCCCCGGGCAGGGCTTCAAGACGCTCTCTAGCCAGCACGGTTCGAGGCGCTGTTCAAGTCTGCGCAGTGGTTGTCGTCATTCCGATTTTTCGTGCCCACAAAAACACGCAGTCACTGCGCTGTACAGCGTATTCCCCCGTGAGGCGCTTTGAGGCGTCTCGACCAGGTGTGAAGGCGCGGGGTCAAGTGCGGGGACGATTATTAGTGTTTCAGAAGCGGTTCTTGCTGGAGTGTCTCAGTTCGGCTGTGGCCGCCCCTCCACACCTCTCCTCCCCGCAGGATCCTATTAATATCAGCACAGCTGCAGATACAGATCTTGCCAGGCTTCAGCGCCGTTGATAACAGCCCACGCGCCTCAATGAGGCGGAGTTTCTGGGCGGTTCCAAACCTTGACAATAATAATAATAATAATAATAATAATAATAATAATAATAATCCTTGCATTTGATAATAGCGCTTTTTCACGTCTTCTCGACGTCCCAAAGCGCTTCAAAGAATAAACCGTAAAGTGAACTGACTGTATATTTGTGGGCGAAACGCGACAGCCAATTGCGCACAGCAGCGTCCCCACAAACAGCCGTGGATTGAAGGGACCATTTTTTGTTTGAAGGGTTATCGTCAGGCGCGTGGAGTAAGGACACTTGCCCAAGGTTTTGTCCTGCTTGGAATCGATCCCAGGTCTGTCGCTTGTGAGGCGACTGCTCTAACCACTGAGCTACAGGACTCCTAAACCTTGTCAAGTTTCCTTGCTTCACACACACGCACAGACACAGACACACGCGCCTCTGTTTACCAGCAGTCAGTAGGAACCCGGTTGTTAGGCGACTGGCGGATCACTTTTCAGTGGGTGATGATCCCTTCAAAAAAAAATTGAACAATAAGCAATAATAATCAGTTGGTCGCTCAACCCACAATTGTTTGTGGGGCACTGCTGTGCGCAGTTGGCTGCTGCGTTTCACCCACAAAACAGTGTGGGAGAGGTGTGTGTGTGTGTGTGGAGGGGATTGTTGCAGTGTTATTCGGACAGAGATCTACTGTTTAGCTCGTAACGCTATCTGTGCCTCTCGCAGTTCGCACAGTGAAGGCTGATGCAGGCACCGCCCAAATGTAAGCCAGTGCTTGTGACCTGTCGTGCGTGTCTTTTGCTGCCCCGAGTTTCCAGTTAAACTAGTTTAGGCTGAATGTGTGTGCCTGTGTGTGTGTGTGTGTGTCCGACACAAAAGACGAGACACACAGGAAGTGCAAGTAGTGCAGCACCGACCGAGAGAGCAGAGAGAGAGAGAGCGAGAGTGTGTGTGAGAGAGACAGAAAAGGCGAGACCCTGTGAGGAATCCGCAGTCGGAAGCCATGAGCGACGAGGAGAACTACTACGGGAAATATGGTGAGATTCCTGTCAGCCTGGGGTTAGATGTTGGGGTTGTTGCTGGTGCTTGAGGAATTGCTATGAGCAGTTTCAGGGCATTGGGGCCCATTGCTTTGTGTCTGTGGGTGTGCAGGGCTATAATAATAATAATCCTTGCATTTGATATAGCGCTTTTCACGTCGGGAGGACGTCCCAAAGCGCTTCACTGAACACACTGTAAAGTGAATTGACTGTATATATATTTGTGGGCGAACGCGGCAGCCAATTGCGCACAGCAATGTCCCACAAACAGTCGGGGATTGAAAATGACCAATTTATTATTGTTTTTGGTTTTGGAGGGAATATTATTAGGCTCTGTGTGGAGTAAGGAAACTTGCCCGAGGTTTCACCCTCTGCCTGGAATTGAACTCAGGTCTCTCACTTGCAAAGCGAGTGCTCTAACCACTGAGCTATCTCCAGGCTTGGAGCCCATTGCTGGGTGTGTGTGAGAGAGGAGGCGGGTATGTGTGTGAGAGGCGGAGGGTGTGTGTGTGAGAGGCGGAGGGTGTGTGTGTGTGAGGAGGTGAGTGTGAGTGAGTGAGAGGAGGCGGGTGTGTGTGTGAGTGAGTGTGTATGAGGCGGGTGTGTGTGTGTGTAAGAGACGGGCGTGTGTGTGAGGGAGTGTGTATGTGGCGGGTGTGTGTGTGAGTGAGTGTGTATGAGGCGGGCGTGTGTGTGAGTGAGGGTGTATGAGGCGGGCGTGTGTGTGAGTGAGTGTGTATGTGGTGGGTGGGTGTGTGAGTGAGTGTGTATGAGGCGGGTGTGTGTGTGTGTAAGAGACGGGCGTGTGTGTGAGGGAGTGTGTATGAGGCGGGTGTGTGTGTGAGTGAAGTAAGGAAACTTGACTATGGTTTTGCCCTGACCCACCCGGTCGGCCAGGAATTGAACTGGGGTCCTCTCACTTGCTTGCGAGGCGAGCTCGCTAACCACTGCGTTATAAGACTCCACGTTATTTAACTTTAATCGCTGTGCTGGGAGAGTTAACCTGCTGTCGAAGGGCTCTTTGTGGTGAGGTGTGAATGGCTTTTCCTCCTGTGTTACAGGTGAGCCCAAGAAGTTTGATGCCTCATTCAGAGGTCCGGTTGAAAAGAGGTAGGTTCCTCTCTCTGCCTTATTCAGTCCCCATCACCCCAGCTCTCGCCAGGCTCCACTAACTTCCTAGCGCCAAACGGATTGATTTCAAGTTCCTCGCACCGATCTGCATATCCCTTCATGCCCCTGGCACCTCCCTACCTCTCCGGTTTACTCCCCAACCCACTGCCCGGTGCCTCCCCTCCACTGGCTCCGGCCTCTTGCATGTCCCTCGTGCCCTCTGCTCCACCATCAGTCGCCGCGTTTTCAGCCACTACGCCACAAACCTCTGTCACTCTCTCCCTCTGTCCCTCCGCCTTTCCCCTCTCCTTCCCCATCTTCAGGTCACGCCTGAAGACCTTCCTCTTCGACCACGCCTACGGTCACCTCCCCCGTACCCCCAGCTCGGCGTCATGCTCCGCATCGAGCTCAAAGCGCCTCTTCGCAAAGCGTAGCTGACTGCGTGTTTTGGGGGCGAACGTGTACAGCTGACAGGGCGTGCGTGCAAATTGGTGCGTTCACTCTCGGTGGAGTTAATGACGCGAGGCGGGTGGAAGGATGGTGAGTGAGAGTGGAGCTGGGAATGAGGTTTACTCTGCCCGATGGTGGTCACACACGGTTTGTTCGTAACTTCTCCCTCTCTCTCTCTCGCTCTCTCTCTTCTCAGGGGCTGTACTGACATCTTTTGCTTCCTCTTGTTCTTCGTGGCCATTCTGGTGTACTGCGCCGTGGGGATCCTAGGTGAGTTGAGCACCAAGGCTACCGACAGGGAATTGAGATAGAATTGGCAGATAGTAATAATAATCCGTGCATTTGATACAGTGCCTTTTCAGGTCGTTGAGACGTCTCAAAGCACTGCACAGGATATACTGTAAAGTGAATTACGTCTCACATACTCACACACACCTCACAGACACACACCCCCCACACACACACACACCCCCCACACACACACCCCACACACAACTGTGTATTTTGAGGGAAAAACACGGTAGCCAATTGCGCACGGCAGTGTCCCACATATCAATCTCCAGACCCTTACCACTTGCTGTAGAGCTAAAGGGCAATGTGCAGGAGTGTCTCCCCAGCTCTGGCCTCGGCAGGGGTGGGGCAGGGCGTGGGAGGGCTCGAGACCATGGGTCCAGAGCATGTCAGAGCCCAGGTCGGGGAGGTGATGGGGTGGGGTGTGAGGAGAGGAGCTGAGCCATCTCCATCCACACTCTTAAATAATAATAAATAATCCTTGCGTTTAATGCAGCGCCTCTCACGTCAAGAGGACGTCTCAAAGTGCCTCCTTCAGGCGAGGGCTGCCGTGAGGTTTGAGCGGGGCGCGGGCTTGTGGAATGGTCGGGGGCAGGAGGGTGGGACTCGCTGCCTTCACACTGTTGTGTACGTGTGGTTTTTTTTTTTTACCTCTCAGCGTGGACTTATGGAGACGCTCGGAAAGTCATCTACCCGACAGACAGCCGGGGGGAGTTCTGTGGCCAGGCCGGAACCCGTAATGAGTGAGTCTGTCTGTGTCTCTCTCTCTGGCTGTGTGTGTGTGTGTTTCTTTCTGTGGCTGTGCGTGTGTATCTGTTTGGCTGTGGGTGTCTGTCTGTGTATATGTGTGTGCGTACCTTTCTCTATCTCTATAGGTGGCTGTGTGTCTGCTTGTCTCTTACAACAACAACAACAACTTGTATTTATATAGCTTAGAAGGTGATGCTTGAAGGCTTAGTTCAGGAAGAGCTGGAGGAGGCTCATGTGGAGCATAAACACCGACATAGACCAGTTGGGCCAAATGGCCTGTTTCTGTGCTGTATATTCTAATGTATCTCTATGTCTGTGTGTCTCACTATCTTTGTGTCTCTCTGTGTCTTTGTTATGTGTGTGTGTGTCTCTCTTTCTCCCTGTGGCTGTGTGTGTGTATCTCTCTGGCTGTGGGTGTGGGTGTGTATATCTCTTTGGCAGTGGGTATCTGTGTGTGTGTGTGTGTGTATCTCTCTCTCTTACGGTTGTATTCTCTCTCTTTTTCCTTCCTCCCAGAAACAAGCCATTTCTGTTCTTCTTCAACCTGCTGGAGTGCACCAGCCCGGTGGTGCTGCTAGAGTTCCGGTGTCCGACCCCACAGGTGAGAACAAGGCAGAGAGGGCCTTGAGTCCCCCCCCCCACCACTCCCGATCCACGGTCACTCCGTTACGGGTGAGAGACGGATCTGAAACCAGCCCCCTTTTTCCAGTGTTGCTTGCGCGCCTTGGGACATCCTCCCGACGTGAAAGACGCTGCACAAATTTGTCATCGTTTGAGTAAAACTCAACCAAGATTTGAAAATAGAAGGGAGTTTCCCCCTCTCTCTCTCTCTCCTGGTATCCTGGCCGACAATTCCCCATATCAAATCAGTCGAGGACGCTGCTGTGCGCAATTGGCTGCCGCGTTTCGCCCACAAGCTACACAGTCAATTCACTTTACAGTGTATCCCGTGAAGCATTTTGAGACATCTCAATGACGTGACGAGGCACTGTGCCAAATGCCAGGATTATTCTTATTCTCTCTGGGTCTCTCTCTCTCTCTCTCTCTGGTCACAGATATGTGTGAAGCAATGCCCAGACAGGTTTGTCTCCCTGTTCAGTATTCACAAGGAGAAAAAAATTAATTCAAGCAGTTGGCAGAATTACATGCAGTTCTGCAAGTCGGACTTCAACCAGAGTAAGGTGAGGGAGCACACGTCCCGACCAACAATCCACTAACGTCTGGGCCTCGTGAACCTTGTTCGATGTGGGGGGGGGGAGGGGGAAAGGGGGTAAGCGGGTGGGGGGGGTGGCGGGTTCCCCTGACCTGACGGTGTAGGGTTGGTTACTCGCAGACCGCTTCACCTCTCTCGTGTTTTTCCACAGAGTATGATGGAGCTACTGCGGGATCAGGATTGCCCCACGGTGCTGACGCCCAGCAGACCTTGTACGTGTGGGTTTCAGTTCCCCCGGCTCCCCATTGTCCAACCAATCGACTTCAAGATCCTCTCATTCATCTACGAATCCCTTCAAGCTCTGGCAACCTCCTTACCACTCCGGCTCGCTCCCCAACCCACTCGCTACCCACTACCCTCCGCTCGACCTGCTCTGGCCTCATACTTTGTCCCTCGTTCCCTCCGTTCCACCATCGGTGACCGCGCTTTCAGCCGCTACACTGCGCCCCGAAGCTCTGTCACTCTCTCCCTCTATCTATCCCTCCCTCCGCCTTGCCCCTTCCTTCTTTCCTCATCTTCAGGTAGCGCCTGAAGACATTCCTCTTTGACCGTGCCTACGGTCACCTCCCCCCACCCCGCTTGAAGTCCTGCTGCCCTGTGTGCGTGAGTGAGTGCGTGTGTGAACGAGGTGTGTAAACACAAGTTGTTGTTGTCGTCCCCTTCACACAGTTTCCCAGCGATGTTTCCCCGATCTGGAGACCAAGAAGGGAGTGGTGTTGGTCGGCAACAAGACTTCGTTCAAGCTGGAAGAAGGAAAAACCATCAACGCCTCCGACCTAATGGCCGCAGCCAAGTTAGTAGCATTCTCACTGTGATTCCCAGCTCAGGCAGGTTGTGTGGCCGGCAGCCAGCGTGCGGGCCACGGCAACGTGCCCTAGGGTATCGAGCTCTCCGGGACGCTACCCTGTGAATGCAAGTTTTGTTGTGATGGTTGTTGTTGGGGGCTGCGTTAGAGATCAGATCAACAGCTTGCATTTACAGGAGGGGAGGGACGGGACAAGGGGGCGGGTGATGGGGTGGGGCGATGGGGGTTGTAAGCAAACCGTATGGGGTAGAGGGTGGCAAAGAGGGTGGGTTCTAACCTCTGATTCAGACCCTGTGCTCTCTCCCTCCAGAGCTGCCAATATCGTCCTGGACGTCAGAGAGGTGGCGATGAAGATATTCGAGGACTACACCAGATCCTGGCATTGGATCTTGATGTAAGGGCTTGTTTTGTTGTGGGTTTTGACGGTGAGGAGGGTGGGTGGGGGGGTGAGCCCCCAGGGTCACGTCAACGCACGCGGTGGTGGGGGGAGGGGGTCAATGGAGAGGATTTACATTCCCGAGTTGGATTTATGCTCCGAGGATTTCTCCCTGTATTAGTGGTTAGAGCGCTCGCCTCGCTAGCGAGAGGACCCGGGTTCAATTCCCGGGCAGGTCAGGACGGAGTGAAACCTTAGGCAAGTTTCCTTACTCCACACACACACAGACGCGCATAGACACACACACACACATACACACACGCCACTGTTTACCTGGTTGTCCCTGGTTGATTGTCGCATCAATCACTAATTCGGACACTCAATCCACGACTGTTGGTGGGACACTGCCGTGCGCAATTGTCTGTGTATTTCGGGTGCGAAACGCGGCAGCCAATTGCTCACGGCAGATTCCCACAAATAAAAGCGTGTGGGGTGCTGTGCAAATGCAAGTTGTCGTGACACACCTCCACCCCCCCACCCCCCACCTCTGGTTCCAGCGGGCTGCTGATGGCGATGGCGTTAAGTCTCCTGTTCGTGGTGTTGCTGCGCTTCATAGCGGCCGTGATGGTGTGTGTGATGATCCTGCTGGTGATGGTCGTGCTGGGCTACGGTACGTGGAGCAGAGTCGCCAAGCGAAGTCGGCGCTGCTTACGGTCGCCTCCCTCTCCCCCCGGCTCGTGGTCGGACTGTGAAATGCTCCGGGACCCTACCCCGTGCGCAGGGCGCTATGTAAATGCCAGTCGTCGTAGTGGTCAGCGTCCTCGCCTTGCAAGCGAGAGGTCCCAGATTCAATTCCTGGGTCAGGTCAGGTCGGGGGCGAAACCTGAGGCAACTTTCCTTATTACAACACACACACACACACGCGTGTGTCTCGGTTTACCTAGCGGTAAGTAGGAACCCTGTTGTTAGTCGATTGGCGGATCCCTTTCCACGGGTGATAATCCCTTCAATCAGTCGATCAATCAATCATAATTTGGCCACTCAATCCACAACTGTGTATGGGACCTCGCTGTGGCTGCCGCGTTTCGCCCACAAAAATGAACAGTCACTTGACAGTCTATCCCGTGCAGCGTCTCGATGACGTGATAAAGCGCTGTATCGAGTGCGAGGATTTTTATGGTTCTCTCTCTCTGTGTGACAGGTATATATCACTGCTCCATGGAGTACATTAAGCTGCGAGGTGAGGCCGGCTCTGACATAAGCATCACAGACTTAGGCTTGCAGACCGACATCAGGGTCTACCTGCACCTCCAGCAGACGTGGTTAGCCTTCCGTAAGTCCTGCTCGGGGAGGGAGTGGGGTGGGCTCTCCCTGTGTGCAGCACGTACTCCCTCTGCTGTGTCAGTGACCCTCCGCTTTGATTGCGCCTTCAGTCACGCTCCACTGGCTCAGACCCTGCTTCTTTTGTTTGTTTCACCACTCTTTGGAACTCCATCTCACCGTCCCTCCGCCTCGCCCCTTCCCTGGCCTCCCTTTTCAAGAGCCTCCTCTTTGACTGAGCCTTCGATCTCGCTCCTACGCCCGCCCTCCGCTCTCCTGATCCCAAGCTTCAGCTCGGGTCCAATCCCTGACTGTCTGTCCAGCGCCTTGGGACGTCCTCTGGACGTGAAACAACAACTTGCGTTTACACAGCGCCCCCCCCCCCCCCCACCAACTCGCTCACTCACGTGGGCACAATGGACAAGCAGGAGCCAGTCACTGAAAGGGACTATACACGAGTAGCCTGTTGTTGTTGCAGTGATCATCCTGTGTATTACGGAGCTGCTGATCATTGTCATCCTGATCTTCCTGCGGAAAAGGATCCTCATCGCCATCGCTCTGCTCAAGGAGGCCAGCCGGTAAGCTCCCAACAGCAGTGTACGAGCTCAGCGAGGCCAGCCAGCCCCTCGCACAGTGAGCGGCTACAACAGTCCTTCCAGCAAGGACATGACTGGGCTCGACTGTGGTCACCCACCCACATGGGTCAGAGATCCTGCTCACACTCATGGGTTTGGGTGTGTGGCGGGGAGAGGGAGAGGTGTGGGAGATAGGGGGAGGGACAGAGAGAGAGAGAGAGAGAGAGAGAGGGGGAATGAGAGATTGAAGGGGGGGAGAAGGAGAAACAGACTTTAGTTTTAACCTTCAAGTGAGTTTCCCCTTTTTCTTGCAGAGCCATTAAACACATGATGTGTTCGCTGCTCTATCCCCTGATCACATTTGTGTTGCTGCTGATCTGCATCGCCTACTGGACTATCGTGGCCGTGTATCCTTCCTGACGGTGCTCTTGCTCGCTCACACACTCACTCACTTCCTCGCTCACACACCCTCCCTCACTCACTCACACACCCTCCCTCACTCACTCACAATATAATAATAATAATCCTTGCATTTGATATAGTGCTTTTAACAAAATTTCACTTAATTCACCACTGTCTGTGGGATGCTGCTGTGCGCAATTAGCTGCCGCGTTTCGCCCACAAAATCTTTCTCAAAAGCGCTTCTCAGAATAGACTGGAAACTGAATAAAGTGTATAAGGGGCATCTGGTTCTACCCTCCGTGCTATACAATACCTTAACGGATTCCGCCAAGATTTTTGTCGACATCCAACAAAGCCATCTATAAGGTGGTTTCCAATTCGTCCGACTGCAACTTCACCTGTGATCCCACGGTGAGCGTTGCCTCTGGGTGTGGGGGGGGAGGTAGTAGGGAGGAAAAGGGAGGTTTCTGGTCCTGTGAGGTGTGTGGGATGGGGGGTGCGGGGAGAGTGTGTGTGGGTTGGGGGAGGCGTGTGTGAGAGAGCGAGATTGTGGCCACTCAGTGTTTATTGTCATTAGATGTCATTTAGCAGGTATGGTAAATAATAATAATAATAATAATAATCCTGATACAGCGCCTTATCATGTCGTTGAGATGTCCTCAAAGCGCTTCACCGGACATACTGTAAAGTGTAGTGACTATGTATTTTGTGGGCGGCAGCTAATTGCGCACAGCAGCGTCCCACAGACAATGGTGGATTGAGTGACCACATCTGTTTTTTTGGAGGGACTATTACCCCTGGAAAGCGATCCGCCAATCAAATGAACAGTCGTGTTCCCACTTACCCCGAGGTAAACAGAGGTGTGTGTGTGAGTGCCCGCGGAGTTAGGAAACTTGCTCCGCTTGGGGATTGAACCCGGGTCCTCTCGCTTGCGAGGTAAGCACGTTAACCACACCGCTACAGGCCCAGCGGTGACCTTTCGCTCTCTCGCAGACCTTCAACACCTCGAACATCACGAAGCAGTGTCCCGGGGCTGTGTGCGCCTTCGCCTTCTACGGCGGGGAGACGAACTACCACAAGTACCTCACCGCCCTCCAGCTGTACAATGTCTTCGTGTTCTTCTGGGTGCTGAACTTCGTCATCGCTCTGCAGCAGTGCACGCTCGCCGGTGCCTTTGCCTCCTATTACTGGGCCTACAACAAGCCCCACGACATTCCCACCTTCCCTCTCTTCTCCTCGCTCAGCCGCACCCTCCGGTAAGCAGCAGCCCCCAGCCCGGACTCACCACCCCCCCTCCCCTCCACCGCCCGCAAATCGCTCAGCCCCTCCACCTTGCCGTGCGTCCCACGAAGCGTTCTGAGGCGTCTCACAAAGACTGTTGGGTTTGGGTTGAACTTTGGCGCCGCCCGCTGGCCGGTTTGAGGCAGCGCGAACCCCTCCCGCTCCCCCCCCCCCCCCCGCAACCCCGAAAAATTGGTTGCTCAGTCCGCGACTGTGTGTTTGCGGGTCGCTGCTGCGCTCAATTGCCACCGCCGTGTTCCGCCCGTCTCGAGACCCCTCCTCTCCGCCCGCACTTTCGGTCACCCTCCTTCTCCCCCCCCCCCCGCCTCCCCCCAGCTCGGGACTGTCCATCCAAAACTTGCCGTTGTCGTTGCTGCAGGTACCACACGGGCTCCCTGGCCTTCGGGTCCCTGATCCTCGCCATCGTGCAGGTTTTCCGTGTGCTGCTGGAGTACGCCGACCAGAAGCTGAAAGGTGGGCAGCGGCTGCTCTCGTGGGTCCCGTCACTGACGCCCACCCGCCTCGCTGGTCTGAATGGCTGCCGTGCTTCTCTTCTGTTTGGTGTTCTTGTTCAGCCTCTCAGCCCCCCCCCCACCCCACCCCCCCCCACCCTCTGGACCTCCACCCCACAGTCCCTCCATCTCTCTCAACCCCTCCCTCTATCCCTCCCTTGCCTCCTTCAGGACCATTTTCAAGACTCCTCTTCGACCGTGCCTTCAGTCACTCTCCCTACGCCTCACCCTCTCCGCCCTCCACCCCTCCTGATCCCAACCCCCAGCTCGAGTGCAGATTCCCTGACTGTCCAGTAGCTTGGGACGTCGTCCTGACGTGAAAGGCGCTGTGTAAACGTCATTTGTTGTTCGTTGTTGGCTAATGGGCAAGGATTATTATTATTATCACATGACATCTCAAAGCGCTTCACAGGATATACTGTGTATTCTGTGGGCGAGATGTGACCGTTACCAAATGTAATGCTCATTATTAATTACCCATTAAAACCATGATCGGAAAGGCAAGGACAGTTTGGGTGACACTGAACAGCAGAGGCTTTGTGTGAGCCTAATAATAATATTAATAATAATCCTTGCATTTGATACAGCGCCTCATCACGTCGTCGAGACGTCTCAAAGCACTTCACAGAATAGAAACCTAGAAACAGGAAGAGGCCATTCAGCCCCTCGAGCCTGTTCCGCCATTCTATTCTATGAGATCGTGGCTGATCCGTACCCTCCAATTACCGCCCTCTCTTGCCCCGTATCCCTTAATACCCTGACCTATCCAGAATATACTGTAAAGTGTAGTGACTGTGTTTTGTGGGTGAAAATCACTGGGTTTGATGAGGGGGAAACTGTCACCCGTTAGCCCCGAGAGAAGAAGACTTTGCTTTTCCCTTTGCAGCTTCATTTAATTTTTATTACTATTGTCTTTATTGTCTTAGGTGCACAGAACAAGTTTGCCAAGTTCCTGTTACGCTGTCTGAAATGTTGCTTCTGGTGCCTGGAGAAGATTATCAAGTTCCTCAACAGAAACGCCTACATAATGGTGAGCGCTCCCCACTCCACCCCAAGTCCCCACCGAGACCTGCCTTAATAATATTATTATTAATAATAATAATCCTTGCAATTGACATAGCGTCTTATCATATCGTTGGGCCGTCTCACAGCACTTCACAGAGAGATGCAGAGAGAGAGAGAGAGAAACAATAATAATAAGCCCTGCATCTGATGTAGGGCTTTATTACGTCGTTGAGGTGTCTCAAAGCGCTTCACAGAATACCCTGCAAAGTGCAGTGACTGTTTACTTTGTGAGCGAAGAACGGCAGCCAATTGCGCACAGCGAAGTCCCACAAACGGCTGTGGATTGAGTCACCATTTTTTTGGGTTGTTTCGGAGGGATCATTACCCCCTTAAACCGATCCGCCAATCGACTTAACAACCGGGTTCCTACTTACTGCTGGTAAGCGGAGGTGCGTGTGTGTGGAGTAAGGAAACTTGCCTAAGGTTTCCCCTGACCTGAAGTGAACCCGGGTCCTCTCGCTTGTGAACCACTACAACCACTCTCTAACCACTACAACAACAACAACAACAAGATTCCATTTATAGAACACCTTTCACGTCGGGAGGACGTCCTTGATCATGGGATGTAATCATTTCCTGATAACAAAAACAGAAGTCACTGGGAACACTCAGCAATTTTAAATGCTGCTGCTGGGTGTTCTCAGCGACTTCTGCCTTTGTTTTCAGATTTCCGACATCTGTAATATTTTGTGATGATTTCCTACCTCATTTGTGCTCTTTTCCCTCTCTCTCTCTCTCTCTCTCTCCCCCCTCACCACCCCCACCCAGATCGCAATCTACGGCTCAAACTTCTGCGTATCAGCGAAGAATGCATTCTTCCTGATAATGAGGAATATACTCCGGTGAGTGTGTGGGTCTGTGCGTGTGTCCGGTATTATCCTGCGAAGCTATAAGAACAGGAGGAGGCCACTCAGCCCCTCGAACCTGTTCCGCCATTCTATTAGATCATGGCTGATCTGTACCTCAACTCCAATTACCCGCCTTTGCCCCATATCCCTCGATACCCTCTCCTAACAAACATCTGTCCACCTCAGTCTTGAAAATCTGAATGGAGTTACCCTGCGTGAAGGGCCCTATGTAAACGCAAATTGTTGTTGATGTTGTGGCACCGAACGCAAGTCTTGTTCTCTTTGCCTTCACAGGGTGGCGGTGCTGGACAAAGTGACCGACTTCCTGCTCTTCCTGGGGAAAATGCTGGTTGTTGGCAGTGTTGGTCAGTACTCAGGGACACACATACACATATGTTCCTCTCTCCAACTCCAGTCGTGGATTGAGCGACCAGTTTTGCACAGATTCCATCTCCCGCGTCTCTCCCCACCACCGCCCCCACCCCCACCCCTCCCGAATCCTACCCCCAGTTCAGCCGCAAACCCTCGACACTCCAGCACCTCGGGCCATCCTCCCAACGCAAAGGTCGCTATGTAAATGCAACTTGTAGTTGTGTTTGTGAAACGCTCCCGTCCCCTCTAACCGGCTGTGCTTCACGACGTGCTTTGTTTCTACATGAAAGAAGCCGTAACAATGGCGAGTTACTAGTTACTTGTTTATGAATTAGTTGTTGATTAATAACTAGTTATTAATTATCACCACCTTGTGGTCCTCAGGAGTTCTTGGTTTCTTCTTCTTCACCAATCGCATCAAGCTATTTGAGGACAAAGCTCCGCAGCTCAATTACTACTGGGTTCCACTGATGGTGAGGAGCTGTTTGTGTGGGGGAGGGTGGGTGGGGGTTGCCAAAGAGGAGTGAGAGGATGGTGTTATCACACCACATTTGCAATTTGGGCTGCCTACAAATACTACGATTGTCCCTGTTGATGTGTGTTTGTGTGTGGCTGAACTGGTAACCGATAACCCTGTGTGTTTGTGTATTACAGACTCTCCTCCTCGGCTCCTACTTGATCGCCCATGGCTTCTTCAGTGTGTTTGCGATGTGTGTGGACACGCTCTTCCTATGTTTCTGTAAGTAGCCCTCGCTCACTCGATCATCTCCCACCTCTGTGTTAGAAAGTTTAGCCTGTACACGTCAGGGCTTTGACCCTGACAGAACCCACTCGCTGACACTGCTGCGCTATCAGTGGTGGTGGTGGGGGGTGAGAATGGGGTGGGGGGGTGGTGGGGGACCGTAAATTCAGGGTGAATGTCGAGGCCCATTTATTTGGTCCCCAAACTCCTGCACGGTTGTTTAGCCCGAGGACGTGAGCAATTCTGAGGCCACCGATTCCTAACAATTCTCTCCACCCTCTTGACTGCAACAAACACACAGTCACTACACTTCACAGCGAGTCGTGTGAAGCAGGACTTTGAGACGTTCCTCCTGACGTGAAAGGTGCTGAATTATTATAACAATAATAAGCCTTGCATTTGATCCAGCGGTTTATCATGTCTTCGAGCCATCTCAAAGCGCTTCACACGATGTACTGTAAAGTGGAGTGACTGCATATTTTGTCTATCACAAGTAAGTATTCCTATTATTATAGCATTTGCTGATTTCCTGCCCAGCGATGTGAGGCAGGAGTGTGGTGCGTGTGTGTGTGTGTTACCTCCTGATGGTAAAGCCTCTCTATAGGGGAACGGGGTCTGGAGTGAAATGAACACAGAAGTGATTGGGAACACGCAGTCAGCAGGTCAGGCAGCATCTACGGAGAGAGAGGAAAGTGAGTTAACGTTTCGGGTCCATGACCTCGTTAGAGTGAGTCTACCCACAGAGAGCTGAACGAAGGGGCTCCTCTGCGTTCTGTTTGCTTGTTAAACCGATCGCGCGATTCCTCACGACAGCCTTGCCAAGTCTCTCTTTAAAGTTTCTCGTTTGTTTTTTTTCCCCTCCTGTCATGTCTTGACTGTGTTGCGATTTTCTCCTCTGTGTCCAGCTCATCCCTGGACCGATTCCTTCCCCTCTCTATTGGGAAAAGCCAGGGTTTCCCAGTACTTCCCACGTGATCCGGGTTTCCCTCCCGTTCATCCATTAGCTGCAACTTATCCTGGTCATGTCGGAAGGTGCTGGACAGTCAGGGATTTGGACCCAAGCGCGGGGGGAGTGGGGGGTGAGGGATGGTGGCCGAAGACTCAGTTGAAGAGGAAGGTCTTGAGACGTGCCTTGAAGGAGGCGAGGGAGGAAGTGGGGCGAAGGGAATGTGAGACGGAGTCCCAAAGGGTGGGGGCGGAGAGGCTGAAGGCCGACCTTTCCTGGCTGCTGCGTTTCGCCCGCAAAGTCCTCAGTCGCTGCGCTTTACGGTGTATCCCGTGAAGCGCTTTGAGACGTCTCGACGACATGATAAAGCGCTGCAGGGATTATTTTTATTATGAGAGCGCTCTGTGCGCTCGCTCCTCCAGCTGTGCCCTGGAACGCTTTTGCGCACTCCGGGACGCCACCCTGCGCGTGAGGCGCTATATAAATGCAAGTTGCTGTTGTTTGTGGAACCTCGCGCTCACACCCAACCCCAGGCCTCCCAGTCGCTCGAAGCAGGTACTCCTTCCAGGCCAGCTTTCCACCCGCCTTATTCCCCAGCAAGGACTGTAATCGTTCCCTTTCGAAGGGCGACTGTGTGTGCATGGGTTACAGTTTCCTATTCTTGTCTCTGATTCTTATCTGTGTCTTTCTCCTTTGTCTTTCCTCTCCCTCCCTCTCTCTCTCTCTCTCTCTCGTTCTGTTCTTTCATCACGGACGTGTGCGCACGCTGTTCTACCTCTCCCTTCCTCCACACGCACACACACACACACCACCCGTCCCCTCCCGCCCCCTGCCGGCAAAAAAAACAGGTGAAGATCTGGAGAGGAACGACGGGTCAGCCGAGCGACCGTACTACATGACGCCAGCGCTACACGACATCCTGAGTATCGAGGAGCCCCCTGCCCCCACCCCCCCAACCGACATCGCCGTCAACGACAACTCCCCTCAGATCGTGGAGCTGCAGGAAGAGTAACGAAGGCCACAGACTTGAGGCAAAGTCGTCGCCACCGCTCAACCTCATTCCCCTGCCCCGGGCACTCACTCCCGCCAGCACGCGACCTAATCCCTGCTTATCGTAGCCGGACGTGCTCTCTGTGTGTTGGTTATGTCAGGGGCTGGGGCTACTTCAGTGATGACTGTCATCGGGGTAAGGATCAATATGGAGAGAAAACCGGGTCTCGATGTCACTAGGGATGGTTTATACCGAGGTCAGCCCGTGTATACAGGGAGGCCAAGAAGTCGTGATACCTGTTTTCCCGATTATCTAAAAGAAAATCATTAGACATTGTAATGGTATCACAACTATTTGGTCACCCTGTGTGTGTGTGTGGGTGTGTATAGATATATATATATTGTGTGTGTGTGATTCAGGGGAGGTCCAACCTTTTGAATGCCGGACGCCCTTTTTGAGAGATGTTCGGGGGCCGCATAAGCAATGTCTTCGTGTTTCCCTTCCAAAAACGTAAAATCAGATAGCATTTGATGGTTGTGGGGGGAGCGCGTGGGCCAGATGAAATAGAGGGAGGGAGCCGCCAGTTGGCCTAAGTGATATATATATATAGAGAGAGAGAGGGAGAGAAGAGAGTTGAGTTTGTATCTTAGTCTCTCGCGCTCTCTCTCGTTATTAAAGAGGGACTCTTCCCCCCCCCCCCCCCCGTGAAAGACGCTACACAAATGTAATGTTGTATTGTGTTGCATGATGATGATTATTTTAATGAGCTGATTGCATGTTGGTGCAGTGGAGGACCTGGAGAGGAATGACGGCTCAGCGGCCAAGCCTTACTTCATGCCTACAAGCCTGCAGAAGATCCTCAACAAGAAGAACAAAACCTCGTCAGAGTGAGCAGACCTCGTTGGGGACAGGGTGGTGGGGGGAAGGGGGAGAGGGAGGGAGGCTGAGTGGGGCTCTGCCCGGGAGAAACCACTTGACTGACGGAGCTACCCCACACCCACCCCCTGCTTAATGGATCAGCACATCCCATCTCAACCCAGCCCTGGCGTGCGAGATATTCACCTCGCCTCCGTCCGCGAGACATCTTGGTTAAAGACACCCATTCCTGTTGATAGATATCCGCTTTGATACCCCCCCCCGCCACCATTGCCAACTAAGTTTGATTATGGTCTGAGACATTGTGATTGCGGGAGGGAGCAGTGAGCACATTGCCATCTGCCTCACCTCTGCACATTCCTCCCCCACCCCCCACCACCCGGTGCTAATGACGGGTTTCCTGAATTCACACTCGTCCAACAGCCAACACCAAACAGCCAAGCTGCCCTGTACAAGCCTAAGCTGCCAAATCTTTGTGAGGCTCCGTTACTCGTTTGTCCGCAGATGATTACCGCTGTAATGTTTCCCCGAATCTTGACACATTTCCTCCCACCTCCCCCTCCTCCTGCTCGGAAGCCAGCAGTATGGGTTGAAGTAAAATGTCCAAGTGCGCAGCCTTTTTTTATATATATATATATAATATACTGTATAAATATATATACACACAGTCTATGAAGGGTGTTGATGCCACGCTTGGTTGCCTGGGATGAACTGCCTTTATAACCGCCAGTTGCCTTGGGTTTGTTTTCGAGTCCAGCTTCTCTCCGTGGGGAGCCCAGCTCCTGGCCTTGTGGACGAGCAGCTTTTGACGGACAAATGTCTTTTATGTTGAGTGTTAAATCGGCCCACAGGGCAGGGCTGTTTCAGGCAGTGCACCATAACAACTCACTGTTTTTTTAAAAAAATGTTTTGTGATTGTCTACACTCCATCGCTGATGCAATCCTCTCCCCACTGGAGAAGACTTGCGTATTAATCAACGAGAATGTCCTGCATGGTTTTATTATATATTTTTTGAGCAACAATAGCTGTTTTTACCTTTTTTTTACACAAATTATTAAATTGAATGTTTCTTCCTTTGTAACGTGCAGAGTCCCGTTACCCCCATTCCCCCCCCCCCCCCACCACATTGCATTAACCAGCCACTGAAACATGTGGAAGGAAGAATGACGATAATTGTATTTAGAAGTACTCAATTGTATTCAGTCCCAAGTGTTTAACGGTATTTAGATATTCAAAGCATTGGGGTGTGTGTGTGTGTATGAGTGTGAGTAGATCTGGCAGATAATGATCTGTCGCCACATTCGGTGTTTGACATCTTCTGTTAATGTGGATGGATGGATGGAATGAGGAGGGCGAAATGCATCTGACAGTTTGCTTCAGCTCCTCCGTAGTCTCATATCACTAACAAGACTTTGTACATGCACCGTGGATTTGCTGCCTACTCACCCAGCGGAGCGAGCGACCAGCGTTTCCTTATGTATAGGACCTTACCTCGAGTGTACCCACTCTGTGTGCCTGAGAGGCGAGCAGACTGATCATGGACCTCCCCGTGTCTGAGCGAGGCTGCTCTGATGCATCTGTCGGCTGGAATCAGCACCTGAACGCCGGTGGATTTCCTCCCGGAGAGAATTCCGACCCGGATGTAAACAAACCTGATCGTGTATCCCCCTCTTTTTTTAACACCCCCCCCCCCCCCCCCATACTCCGAGCTCTCGCTCTGGGGCCTTGATCGTATTTATTTGCATGCTTGAGGCTTGTATCGATCCAATAAATGTAACGTTTCCAACAAATGCCTTTCACCCTTGTCGGGCTCCTTCATTTTGTTTCAGTCAATACACGGAACGGCTGTTGCAAGTTGTCAGGCTGTGAATTTAGCTCGATTTATTGGGAGTCCTCTTTTAACCCCCCCCCCATTACTACCACTGCCATTAGCAACGTGGAGTCCTGTGGCTCAGTGGTTAGAGCACTCGCCTTGCAAGCGAGAGGACCTGGGTTCGATTCCCACCTGGGTCAGGGCAAAACGTTGGGCGCATTTCCTTACTCCACACACACACACACGCGCGCGAGCGCGAGCGCCTCTGTTTGCCGAGGCAGTAAGTAGGAACTCGGTTGTTAGTCGATTGGCGGACCGCCTTTCTGGTGGTAATAATCCGTTCAAAAATAAATAAGCAACGGTAATAAATTGGTCGCTTCAATCCACGACCGTTTGTGGGGATGCCGCTGTGCGCAATTGGTTGCGGCGTTTTGCCCACAAAATATATATAGTCGATTCACTGGACAGCATATTTCTGTGAAGAGCTTTGATAAGGCGCTGTTACCAAATACAAGTAGTAGTAGTATATGGTGTGTGTGTGTGTGTGTAGGCATTGATCAGAGTAACAAGCGAGCGTGCAGAACTACAAAACCCAGCATTCCGCGCGGCGTGCGTGCGTGCGTGCGTATTTTTTTACGCGGTGACGTCAGGCCCCCCCCTCCGGCCTGCCTCCCGCCCAGCAGGAGCCATGCTGATTGGCTGGTTTGAACGGCACGTGGGTGGGCGGGCGGCGGTTGGTGGCGCAGGCGCGGTGAGGCGGCGGCGCGACGGCTGCGCGCGAGAGCAGTCACGTGAGCTTTTTGTCCTCTTCTCTGTCTCTCTCTCTCTCTCCCGTGGTCTGGCGGCGGGGCCGGGGCCTGACGGTGAGTCCAGTCAGTCAGGGGCCCCGGGCTCTCCTCACACAGGAGCCCGGGAGCGGGTGAGGCGAGCCCGGAGGGAGGGAGGGAGGGAGGCGGCGGCTTCTCTTAACGCCGTCTCCAATAGTGCGTCAGTTCGAAACTTCACCGCGAGGCCCTTCGGTTAGAACTGACGCCCAGGGCAGGGCCGCCGCTGAGGCCTCTTCACCCCACTCTGTGTGTGTGTGTGTGTCAGAGGCCGCAGAGCCCAGGGCTTCTCTCTCTCTCTCCCTCCCTCCCGCCGGTGCCATGAGGCGGCGAGAGAGCGGCCGGCGCTCAAAATGGCGGCGGTGTGAGAAGCGCGTGTGTGTGAGGTTATCAGTGTGTGTGTGTATGAGATTATCTGTGTGTGTGTGTGAGGTTATCTGTGTGTGTGTGATGTCGGGCTGTGTGTGTGTGTGATGTAGGTATGTGTGTGATGTCGGGCTGTGTGTGTGTGTGTGATGTCGGGCTGTGTGTGTGTGTGATGTCGGGCTGTGTGTGTGTGTGTGAGGTTGTCGGGCTGTGTGTGTGTGTGATGTCGGGCTGTGTGTGTGTGTGATGTCGGGCTGTGTGTGTGTGATGTAGGTGTGTGTGTTGTGATGTCGGGCTGTGTGTGTGGTGGTGTGTGATGATGTCGGGCTGTGTGTGTGTGATGTAGGTGTGTGTGTGTGTGGTGTGTGTGTGTGTGTGAGGTTGTCGGGCTGTGTGTGTGTGTGATGTAGGTGTGTGTGTGTGCGTGATGTCGGGCTGTGTGTGTGTGTGATGTCGGGCTGTGTGTGTGTGTGATGTCGGGCTGTGTGTGTGATGTCGGGCTGTGTGTGTGTGTGATGTCGGGCTGTGTGTGGTGTGGTGTGTGTGTTGTGATGTCGGGCTGTGTGTGTGTGTGATGTCGGGCTGTGTGTGTGTGTGTGATGTCGGGCTGTGTGTGTGTGTGATGTAGGGCTGTGTGTGTGTATGATGTCGGGCTGTGTGTGTGTGATGTAGGTGTGTGTGTGTGTGATGTCGGTGTGTGTGTGTGTGAGAGGTTGTCGGGCTGTGTGTGTGTGTGATGTAGGTGTGTGTGTGTGTGTGATGTCGGGCTGTGTGTGTGTGATGTCGGTGTGTGTGTTTGTGAGAGGTTGTCGGGCTGTTGAGACATTCTTAGAGCTGTGTGTGGGAGAGGTTGTTGGTGTGTGTGAGAGAGGTTATTAGTGGGCTGTGAGTTTGAGACATTCTTACAGAGGTTGTATGTGTGAGAGAGAGGTTATTAGTGGGGCTCAGTGTGTGTAAGGCGTTCTTAGTGAGAGGTGTGAAGTTGTTAGCTGTGTGTGTGAGAGAGGGGGAGACGGTGGTTCAGGCTCTGCTCCCCTCACGCGGCCTCCCCTCTCTCTCCGCTTTTCTTTGTTCTGCTCCAGTCGCAGGCACAGGCAGTATGGCCAAGGGCTTGGCTGTTGTGTGTATGTATCTGTGTGAGCGCACAGCTAATCGCTGTTGGGTATCACCAGTTTATCAGCTTTCTTGCAAACTTGTCACTGAAGAGCTCTGTCTCTGTCTGGGGATCCCGTATTTGCAATCCTGGATTTTCTCACCTATATAGATAATAGTAATATAACTAATCCTTGTATTTGATAAAAGGCATTATCACATTGTTGAGACGACTCAAATCACTTCACAGGATATACTGTAAAGTGCATTAATTGATTGTGCAGCACCTTTCGGGTAAACTAATATGTCTCATACTGTTTTAAACAATGCAACTGATTTGCAAACTCCCTTTCTCTAAACATACATATATGTGTATATATAATAACCTTTTGGATCTACAGTGAAGTCCTGTAACTCAGTGGTTAGAGCACTTGCCTCACAAGTGAGAGACTTGAGTTCGATTCCTGGCAGCGTGAAACGTTAGGCAAGTTTCCTTACTCCACACTCCTGATAATAATCCCTCAAGAAAAAAAAAGCAATAATAAAATTGGTCAATTCAATCCATGACTGTTTGTGGGACACTGCTGTGCACAATTGGCTGCCTCGTTTCGCCCACAAGTATAGTCAATTCACTTTGCAGTATATTCTGTAAAGCGCTTTGAGACGTCTAGAAGTCGCGACCTCCTAACCTCCTACCATCCTGCCCGTTCCCTCCGCTCAGCCAGCTCTGGCCCACCCCACCATTGGCGGGAGAGCCTTCAGCCACTCTGCCCCCAACCTTTGGAATTCCATCCCCCAGTCACTCCTCCTCGACCCCTCCTTAGCCTCCTTCAAATCCCGCCTCAAGACCTTCCTCTTCGACCGTGCTATTGGCCCCCTCCCCTCCCAGCTCGGGTCTGAAATGCTGTACTCTGTCCAGCGCCTTGGGATGTCCTCCCAACGTGGAATGTAATCTTCTTGTTGTTGTTGTATATCAAATGCAAGGATTATTATTATCATCATCATGTAGGGTTCCCGAAGCTTTCCATTGTGATGGTAGACTAATCGATACAGAATTAATTGCTTTCAGCATCTCCATTATTATTATTATTATTATTAGTATGTGACTACCAGGATGGTAGAGGGTGGACTGGATGGATCGCTGTCTTTTTTCTTCTATGTTCCTGTATCGCTCACAAAATATACAATCACTACAATTTACAGTACATTCTGTGAAGTGCTTTGAGGCACAAGGATTATTCTTTTTCCTCCCCTCTGGCTATGTTTTTCTCTCAGACATTTTAGAATTTTTTCTTATTCTAATGTGCTGCTCAGCTATCAATATTGGTGTAAGCAGAAGTCCCTTTGGGCTCTCGCTTTGTTTTCATTGTGTTTCTGTTTCTGATCCTAAGTCGTCCCGTTAGTTGGTGCCCCATCCTGGAACAAGCTGCTTTTGAAATGTGAGCAGTGGTCCTGTTTCTGTACAGACTGTGTGGGGCGATGGGGGGAGGTGTTTTGTGTGGTACCAGAGCTTCAGTACCTTGAAAATGTAGTCTGCAACAAAGACCTTCCTGCTCTCCTGTCCCTCTGGTTGTGCTATTAATTCTGAAATATTCTATATCCTTCCAATAATGGCATCAATCAATATGAGTGAACTGTTTACCAGTAGCCTGCTTTTGTTCAGTTGCTAATGTTTTAGTCTACGCAGGTGTTGCAGGAGGTGGGGTGAGGGTGGGTGTGGGGTAGGGGGGCTGCGGTCAGCCTCTGCTTTTCGTAATCATTTGGGGAAAGATTACAATTATTGCTAAGCGCTACTCCCTGTAGAAGTGATAATGGTTTGTAAGGGGTGAAAGTTGACAGTTGTTGGTAATACTATGTTGACTGTCTCTACATTGTGCTCAGTAGGTAGGTATTGCTGGCTAACAAGGAATACCTCAAGCTCTACATAGCTCTACTGAAATGCTGTCACTGTCCTCCCGACGTGAAAGGCGCTATACAAATGTAATGTTGTTGTTGTGTCTTCACTTGAAGTCTGAGCATCTATTTGACTTGACTTCCTCAGCTGTGATTCAGATTTTACTTCTTTTGGTGAAGGGAGAACTTTAGGATTATGCCTATTTAAAGTGCACTATGTTGTTTACAGAGCTAGAAGATTGCTAAAGTTGCGGAGATTGTGACTAGCTGTGATAAAGTGGTTAGATACGACTGTGCTTTTTCTTTTCATTCATTTAATGGCAATAGTTTGTCGGTACATTGTAAATCAGCTCCTACCTACACAGGACATTCACATTCTGTTTGCTGTGCCGCACAGAGGGTCGGTCACAGTATCACATTCATCTCATCACAATTTCTAATGGAAGAAGAGTGGCGAGTTTGTGGGCACAATGGCATCCGCACAGTGCCCGGGACAGGTTTGCCTCTTGGATGATGAATAGCCTCTAGTGAATTATCTTTGGAACCCCTGGATTTGATAACTTTCCAATTTACCACTTCATAGCAGCCATTCTCTGAGCAGTTTAGCGGTAGTTGGTTGTTAGCTACTGTCCTCCAACCCCTCCCGATCCCAAACCCCAGCTCGGATCCCAAATCCTCGGTTGTCCAGCGCCTTGGGACTTTCGCCTGACGTGAAAGATGCTATGCAAATGTAATTTGTTGTTGCTTGTTGTTATGGTTGCAATTGCAATTAAGAGTATTGGTTAATCAAATGCAAGGATTATTATAATCCACTTTATGGGAAGGAGCTGGAAATGGATGTTGTACTGTTTGGCAATTTGTGTGTTAGTGAAGGTGGGCTTGAGTTGATCACAGGATTCTGGAATTAGGTATTAGCATGTGCTTCGTACGGATTTTAAGGTGAACATTTAGTGCAGAATACGTGCCATCTGTTGGTAGGTGATGCCTGGCTTCTCGCTGCTAGCAGCCTACCTGGGAGTAGAGACGAGGGTGGGGGGGTGTTCCATCTGATATTTCAATAATTTAAATGCTGTTGGTAAGTGAGTTTTGTTAATGACTGCAGCGCTGCTGCAGGAAAAAGTACCACTTTACTAATTGCATTCCTTTGGCATCTATCCAAAAGTTGTAAATCTTCTCTGGAGTGCTTCCACAGTAAGTGGTACACTCCAGAGAGTATTGCTTGGTAGCTAACGGAAGCACTATTTCTTGGCGAGATGAACTACCTTGGAGTGTTGATACCTTAATAGGTTCTGGAGGCTGGGTATTTTATTAGATAAATTACAAACTTTACATCATCTCATCTTTACCATATGACTTAAATATACTGGTTATGATGAGACTCGGAGTGAATGAGTGAACTGTTGCATTTTTCGTCCTAAACATTTTAGAGTTCTTCTCTTAGCGTTGAGCCTGGCGTGTCACGGGACTCTTGCCGAGACTTGAACTCCTTTGTCTGACCTTGTGGTCCCTCTCGGACCTTGCCCACACCCAGGGCTTGCTTGCCCAGACATCTGTTACTCTGCTTCACTATGTGCTTAGTACCTATCTTCTGTTTCTTTGCAACTCTTTCAGTCCCTGATCTCCTTTGCATGTTCTCTTTTATACTTTGAATCCAAATAATTTCCATAATTCAATAGTTGGGCTGCCCAGTCCACAATCCTGTGGACAGGATTGTCCACAAAATGCACGGTCACTCCACTTTACAATGTGTCCTGTCAAGCGATTTGGAAGCCTCAAAGACGTGATAAGGCGCTACATCAAAATGCAAGGATTATTATTATTATTATCTGAAATGTGGGTTAGAATGTGGTTGTTGAAAATAACAACAACAAAATTACATTTGTAAAGCACCTTTCGCGACTGGAGGCCATCCCAAGGTGCTAAACAGTCGGGGATTGGGCCTGAGATAACAAACTATGTGACACTGACTGGCTAAATGTTTAATCCTTTTCTAAAGTTGGGTGATCGTCTTTAATTGCCATCGGAGTGAAGGCGAAAGGCAGGGTTTCTGAATGTACGTTTGATTGTAGATAAAAAGGAGCTGTGCCTGCGGTCCATGTGTGCGTTGAGGAGGGTCTGAAATCCCAACAACATTGGATGAGAACATTCGAAGGCTCCACAATATACCCAACGATTTGCACGGGGAGTAACCGGTGGATACTGAAGTCACAATGGTAAGTACAGGGTGCTTTATTATGTGTCCGAAGTGTGCTCTGTAATCTCATCAGCCTCTTGACTATCTGAAATGTATTCTTGCTCTTTTAAAGACTTGAGATACTGTGAGAGTGACCAAGTAACTATTTGTTGCTGGGCAAGAGAATGGAGATAAAACAAGGGGGTGGGCGGGAGGGACATCTTTATTTTGAATGTAATTTAAGTTTGCACGTTGCACGGTGAATCAGGGATGAGGATGCAAAAGAGACGGGCTGGAAGAGAAGTTCGGGATTGCTTAACCTAAATGATGCTGGAGTCGTATAAGGATGTGGTTACAGAGAGGGAGGTGTTACTGCTCATCACTGTTGATATCTGGCTGTACAAGGAAGGTCTCAATACACTTTTTATATTTAACTAGTCTGGGTTTCATTGAGTCACACACTCTAGCCTATGCTGAAGCCTGGAATGCATCAAACCAGTTCTATTCCCACTCCGCATCTTTAGAATCAACTTTATGAGCCAAGGGAACGTGTTCTGTTTAGAGAAGTCCTGGTCAGTATTGACATATTGGTGGCACAGGATGTGTTCTGCCAGACCTGTTTGCTGGGTTTTACAGTTTCCATTTGGTTTTGAACGCACCAGATGTTGCAATTACTTTGTAGTCAGCCACTGGCCTGAATGTTTCAGCAGCTCCCTTCTCTCCCCACCAGCGGCCCATGCGTATATTTGTTAACGATGACCGCCACGTGATGGCCAAGCATGCTGCCATCTACCCAACCCAGGAGGAGCTGGAGGCCGTGCAGAACATGGTATCACACACAGAGAGAGCACTCAAGGCCGTTTCTGACTGGCTGGACGAGCAGGAGAAAGCCAACGCCAAAGCAGAGGTCACCGACGTGATGGAGACGGCCCCGAAGGACGGGGAGACCAAGGAGGGGTATGTATGATAGGCCAGAGTTTGCAGTTTATTAAGAAAAAATGGTCAAATCGGTAGCGGGTACGTCATTTACATTGTGGAATCCTGTAGCATAGTGGTTAGAGCACTCGCCTCGCAAGCGAGAGGACCTGGGTTTGATTTCAGGGCGGAACGTTGGGCTAGTTTCCTGACTGCACACACACTCCTCTGTTTACCTAGCAGTCAGTAGGAGCCCGGTTGTTAGTTGAGTTGTGGATCGCTTTACCGGGGGGTAATAACCCCTTCAGAAATTTTAAAAAAAGTAATATTAATTTAGTCACTCAATCCACGACTGTTTGTGGGACACTGCTGTACGCAATTGGCTGCCGCGTTTCACCTACAAAAATATACAGTTAATCACTTTACAGTGTATCCCATGAAGTGCTTTAAGAAGTCTAGAAGACGTGATAAGCCTCTACATTAAATGCAAGTATTATTATTTTGCGGAAAATGGAAGTGAAACTTCGATTCCGATAAGAGTACAGTTATTTCTGACAGGAAAACCTGTCCTTTTGTAGTCAGTTCAGTATTTCTAATTGCAGTATGTAATAGAAGCTTACAGACTGCAAATAATTTAAGTCACTATTTATTCCAGTATTTTATTAAAGTGATAGGTCTGAAGAGAGTCCCATATTTCAGTATTGTAATATTATTGGTAGAGGGAAAAAATCTATCCTTATCTCAAAATAACTTGCCCGATAGTGTAGCTGTCTGTATGGTTTTTGCAGTGTTTTTTGTGGGGAAAGGGAAGAAAGTAAGTGAGCCAATTTCTTCTGAATCAGTTGCAGTAAGGACACAGAGATTCTTGGTTTCGTAAATTCAGAACGGATCTACTGAAGCATTATTTCAGTGAGTGAATAATAAACCTGCGATTACTATTCATTCACTGAAATAGTGTTCCCTAGGGAGACGGTTGAAGTAGGAAGTGTTGATTCCTTCAAACACAGATTAGATAGTTTTCTTTTAGGAAATAACATTACGGGATATAGTACATAGGTACAACAACAACAACAAGATTCGGCGGTTGGGGCGGGGGATGTGGAGCAGACCGGAGCCAGAGGAACGGAGGGTACGGGCAGGTAGGTAGTGTGGGACATATATGAAGCGACCGTCAGGAAGGTGGAAGGCGAACTAAATGGACCTTTGTCTTTTTTGTCTAGCATTTCTTATGTTAGCGAGGTGGGTTTCTGGCCTTGTCTCCTAAGGAAATCAGTGGTGTGTATCAGGTTCTTCACTGAGGTATAAGGTGGCACCACCTGGTGCTATTGTTTCTGTGGTGACCTATTATTTTTCTTTTTCTTTCACAGAACGGAAGACCATGACAACTTTACCATGTATGCAAATTTTATTTTCATTGAACTGTTCTATTTTGCTGAACTTAGCTGTGATCATTCTGTAATCTTCCCGCTCTTACCATACATAGACTGTCGCCATTGGAAACTTTCCGCATGTTATACTATGTGGTATCACAGTAGCAGTGTATGTGCAAACTTCAGCTGTAGATGGGGAAAGAATGTGTATCCCGTATCATGCTTACTGCCAGTTAACCATCCTCGTATTGGATTATGATTACGGTCTTTAAGATTTTGAAGGGGATAGATAATATAGACCATGATGAGCTGTTTTATCTTGGACTGAACGGTGGAACCAAAGGACACGGCCTGCGAGCGAAGGTGGGGTTTGAAGTCTGCTAGTTGGTTTGAAGCTGCATGTCCCCAGTGGAGCCGATATTGAGTGGCTCGTGTAACCTTAGACTTGTGTAATCAGTCAGACTCGAGCAGCAGTTTGCTCACATTCCTGTGTGAGATATGTCCATACCACCCATGGAGCAGCAGTATGATGTGGTCGTCTCAAACGTGCTGAGCTAAGATGAGGCTAGCTCACTCACTTGTTAGTTTAAAAAAAAAGCTTGCGTTTCCCAGGAATGTTCTTGTTTGCTTTGACTCGAGCGTGCTAGATACCTGGGCTGCATTGGAGGGTTTTCACTCTGTTTGAAAGCTTGCTATTAGCGGGTAATTGGCTGATCAACTCGCTGTGTATCTTGGATGCGAGACCCCTATATTGGACAATCCTCCGGTAGGAAAATAACCATTGCTTCCGATTGCCCAGCCGTAAAGTAGTTTCTTTTCTCCCCCACCGCTTCGCCACAGGGAACAGAAGAGTACAGAGCAGAATGCCAGCAGGACCTTGAGAGGAGTGATGCGAGTTGGGTTGGTAGCCAAAGGACTATTGCTGAAGGGAGATCTTGATCTTGAACTTGTGCTGCTGTGCCGGGACAAACCTACCAAGTCGTTGCTAACAAATGTCAAGGAGAATCTGGCTGTGCAGTTTGCGGTAAGAAAAGATGTGTGTGTGAGTGTGTATGCAGATTACTGTTAGGATCAATCTTGTAATGACGTCTCAAAGAGCTTCACAGAATATACTGTCAAGTGAATTGACTGTATATTTTCTGGGCAGATAATTGCACACAGCAGTGTCCCACAAACAGTCGCGGATTGAACTGACCAATTTATTATTATTTTGAAGGAATTATTACCCACGGAAACGCGATCTGCCAATCGACTAACAACCGGGTCCCTACTTACTGCTGGGTAAACAGAGGCGTGTGTGTGGAATAAGGTCTCAATATTTCACCCTGGTCGGGAATCAATGCCAGGTACTCCTGTGCGCATTTGGCTGCTGCGTTTTGCCCACAAAATACAGTCAATCCACTTAATATTATATTATGTGAAATACTTAAGGCGTCTCAATGGCGTAATAAGGTGCTAGTATGAAAAACAAGGATTATTATTACTGGTACTTTGCCTGGGGGAAAGGGAGAACCTACCTAACCTGCTATGGATATACTACTCGTTAATTTCCATAGTGTTATTGCTATATTTGACTTCCAGGCATCAATGTTTTTTTTAATCCTTTAACTTTAATATTATTAACTATAGAGCATTACTGAAGAAAAGTACGAGATTACCGCCTCAATTCAAGATGCAGCTATTGTCATAAAGAACGACAAAGAGGAGCCACTGACGCTGAAGATTAAGCTGACTTCACCACTGGTGCGGGAAGAGTTGGAGAAGCAGGCCGCTGGAGGTAGGATGGGTTGAAGGTGGCAGAACTCTCCAACCCACACAACAGTGTGTTTATTGGGCCTTCAATATAGCTTGTTCTTGGGTCATGTCCTCAATATGTTAGAGCTGCAATATATTATAGTAACGTATGGGGAGATAGGAGGGAGGGATTTAATACAGTCCTTCCATCTCTGGGTACTGGCATTCAATCCCATGTAGGGAACTGGTCTTTTCAGTACAGTTCAATTATATATGAAGTTGGGTTCAAGTCCAGCTGGGGCAGAGGGGATACAGCTGTCCTTTCTCTGAGCGTCATGGTGATTGTGGAGACTGCACTTAGTTCCTGAAAGGCAAATCCAGATGCCACCTTTCCTCTCCCGAACCTGGGAATGATCGCAAACGACCCCAGAAGTAGATGGAACTGAATGGGAAATGTTGTGTTCTGTTCTCCTGTACCAAACGCACACTGGCAGATGCATATAGGGAGAGAGAGAGACCCTTACCAAGATGATGATGATAATAATACTTGCATTTGATACAGCGCCTTATCACGTCTTCGAGACGCCTCAAAGCGCTTCACAAAATACACTGTAAAGTGAATTGACTGTATTTTTGTGTATTTATAATGTCCCGGTGTTACCCCCACCACTCCACACCACCCCCGCCTCAGGAAATCTGGCTCCCATCTCTCACTAGTATGTCAAATTCACACGCCTGGTTGGCAGCTGAGAGTTTGTTTACCTGAGGATGTAACAATCCACTCGTCCCGGCTCCATTCTGGATTTGGATCTGGGGATAGATCTGATCAGGTGGAATGCAGCTGTTAACTTCATTGCGGGTGCTATAGTGTAGCATTGCAGGGAAGGAAGGGAACGTATTGAATGTTGGGCGCCCACGGGATGGGTTTACATCTAAACCAAATACATATAGACCCAACGAGGGTCACCGGTGAATTTGCTTTAGCTCTTTGATGTGTGCTTTGCATATCGATCTGAAAGCAGCGGTAGCAAAAATCTCAGCCGAGTAAGTGTTCCACTGTGAAACATTGACCCTGCTGAGCGAGCCCGGGATCAGCCAGCCAGCCCTGTTTTGCCATACTGGAGTGTGCACCACTGTTGTATATTGCAGCCTGGGAAAAAGCTTGTTTCGCATTAAAATGCATGATTTCCCATAGACATCATGTTTATCGGGAGTGTCTCTGCAGTTAGTTTCCGTTCTCCATGTCCCATCCTGTAGCTGTTGTCTGTTGCTGTTGCCCAAGTGTGCACCTCCATATGGCAGCTAAGGCATCAATGCCCTGTAGTATACTGCAGCTTTGAATTCGATCAGCCTGACATGTTATCTCTGCAATTGTAGCCATTTGATGGCCCAATACACAGTACGTACGTATTGACACCTGGAAATGTTGTGATAACGTGACTTAAGGCTTCTGAAGCAATGTAACAGAAGGCTTAGGGGTAATTGTCCTTTGCCGTCGTGCATGTGTTCAAGTTGTTCAAAACCACTGGTTCATTCATGAATAAGTTTGCATTGCAGCAAAGGTGACCGTTCCTTTATTGGGCCACGTTTTAAAATGTGGCTTACCTTCAGAGAATGTCCGTCCACCTGATGACAAGGCTGGGAGAGTTTTGGATGGGTCTGACCTGGTGAAGGGATTGTTCACCCCTCCTTGGTAAAGGTGGTTATGGCAGTGTTATGTAGCTTTGGGTTCTGAGTTTGATGGATTGGTTTTGTTTAGAAACTTTGTTGGAGCTGAATTTGCTCGCAGTTTAAAAATATTTTTACACATGAACTCAGAACCCTCAAATGGAGTCTCACACCCGTTGCATTGGTTGCAAAGTCTTTTGGCACTGGCTGCGGTTTCGAGGTGGCGGGTTTGCCAAAAAAAAATTGGTGTGGACGTTGTCTAAATATGGCTGTGCACATATCTCCTGTTTGTAGACACACTGGCCTGCTGAAGATACTGAGTCGTAGTAAGAGCGAGCTTCACAGCTGCCCACAGCTGGCAGTACTTTACGAAGCCTGTTTGGTGTATGAATCAGCGGCAGGTCACTGCTGAACCTAACTAACCGTCTCTCTGCTCAGCGCTTGACATTTTCATCAGGGGGCGAACGGATAAGCGGTTAGGAGGAGAATCTCCTGTCTGTTTATCTCTTCTCTTAACCCCCTGGGGACATTGAGGCAAGTTGTGCCTGTTCCTTTGAGCCAGCACGGACCAGAGATCAAATCCGAGGCCTTCTCGGTCTATATGTCAGAATATGGTCACAGCCTTTAGTGAGCTAGGTTCATGAACTGCCTGGTGTCCCTGATGCACAGACCGTATCCGAAACTCTTAAATCAGTAATGGAACTATTCAGTTTTGCTGCAGTGCAGACGGTGACGCTTTGAATATGCAGTGGGAAACTGATAAATAAATGTTAATGTTGAGAAAATTATCTCACTCGGATGCTTAGAAACCTGCAACACTTTAGCCTGAGATGCTGGTCTTCGATCTGGAAAATCCAATGGAAGTGATTCCTAGAGCTGCTTTACACAGCCCCCTGGTTTAACAGTTTCTCACTGTATATAGATATTTGATGGTGTTCTTGATCTTTTTGATATTGCCTGTGGATTTACTATCTGATCACGTCTACCAAGCCTTCTAGTTTGTCAATTCTTTTAGGGACGCTGGACCTTTGACCAACTGGACGCTCTCTGTCATGGGGGCCTGGGCAGCTGAACCTCGTGGGCAGAGGGGGTTTCCCCTTAAGACAGACACCAAGCTTGCCTGATAGCCCCCTTCCTGACCCTTTCTCTTAGTTTAACACACATATCTATCCTCCACATCGCACCACATTTACCAGTGTCTTTATGGCCAGTGGGTCAGCTCTTTCCCCTCCCATGGTAGCAGAGCTCAGGGATGTAACTCCCAAATAGTCTGCCATTTAGATAAGTGTCTCTCACCAGCAGCCTTACTTACACCTTCAACTTGGAGAGTTAAGAGTAAGTTAGTTCACTACATTTAAAGCCTAGTTTAGTCTTTATATCGAGGCATATTTAGTCCATATTGAGGCACACTGAGCTCCCACGATAACCCACCATCTCACGTAGAGAGCTAGTGTTCAGCTTCCTTCCTGTTCAGCCTCGAGAGTAGCTTTAATGGACTTTGTTGATGTTCACAACAACTTGACTTTTTTTGGTGGGGAGCCCTGTTTGCCCAATAGGATACTGCAGCTCCCCGCCGCATGACAGAAACCCCTTGGTCAAACTGTGCCTGTCTTCTTATTCCACTTCATCAATAGAAACAGTAACGGTGAATGAGCCTGCGGATGTATTGGACAGGCAGAAATGCCTAACCGCCTTGGCGTCCCTGCGACACGCCAAATGGTTCCAGGTTTGCATCTTGTTCTTACATTATTGTCTAAAAAAAAAAGTAGAGAAAAAAAAAAGTTTTATTTAGTAATAAATTGTCGATGCTGTTCAGTTTAAAACTTACCTGTGTGTGACCAGTGAGAGAGCGAGAGAGAGAGAGAGAGAGAGAGAGAGGATCCAGAGTTAATTGCGTGCGACACTGTTAGCTTCTGTCTTGGCACAGCTGCTAATAAGCACTTGCGTAAATGAGAATAACGTTAGTCTTGACGGCAGTTCTGCATATCACTGGGGCGGGCACTGTGAAGAGTTAATACTCTCGAATGTAACTTGATGTAATGAGGATAATTGCATTGTTGCTGCTTTGTGTTAAGAGTAATTTTCTTTGGTTAAAGTAATCGATCACGTAATACTAAAAACGTTTTTGACGTAAAGACTATAAACTTTTACCCTTGACAAAGTAGCACTGCAGATTTAAAACGTGTGTGAATGTTTTGCGACGAGTTGCCTAACCGAGCGGCTAAGCTTTACCCCCCTCCCTCTCCGTGATTTTGTAGGCCAGGGCAAACGGGCTCAAGTCCTGTGTTATCGTCATCCGTGTCCTGCGGGATTTGTGTTCAAGAGTCCCGACCTGGGCGCCGCTTAAAGGCTGGGTACGTGTGCAAATTTCTCTTTCGTCGTGACTGCCTTAATCCATCTTAAACCTTGCGCAAAAGGCCGGTTGTGCGTGTCCCAGGTAGTGCGTTGAGAAGCAGCCTCAACTGTCCAGTTGTATCCTGTTCTAGTAATGAGGGCTAGGTTGAGGATCGAGCGTTTCCTTTGAAGGGAGAAGTGCAGATAAACCAACAACTTGCATTTACACTGCGTCCTTCACGCGGGGTAGGACCCTGGAGCGCGTGACAGCGGGCAGAGTATGGCTCCGAGCAGGCGGGGGGCAGGGGGGATAGTGACCATAAGCACAATCAAAAGGGAAGATCTTTAGGCGGGATTTGAAGGTGGGGTGGGAGTGGTGCGAGGCGGAGGGATTGAGGGAGAGAGTTGCAGAGTTTCGGGGTGTACCCTGCATGAGGTTGTTGTTGTTTCCTACAGTTGAATGTGAACAAGACTGAGGCCCTCCTGAATGGCTCACATCAGCGCCTCCGCACCTCAGGGTCTGGCAGCATCAACCTCCATGGTTGCACATTATAACTCACCAGCCATTCAGGAACCTCGGTGTCTTGTTCGACCCTCAACTGTCTTTTCTCCCCCACATCCAAGCCATGACCCGCTCTGCCTTCCGTCACCTCCGTAATATCGCCCGACTCTGCCACTACCTCACCCCTCAGGCCGCTGAAACTCTTGTTCACGCCTTCATCACCTCCAGGCTCGACTATGCAAACTCCCTGCTTGTCGGCCTTCCCAACTCCTCCCTCCACAGCTGCAGATAATCCAGAACTCTGCAGCCCGTGTCCTCTCCCGCACCAAACTCCGTGACCCCATCTCCCCCACTCTCGCCCGACTCCATTGGCTCCCTATCATTCAGAGGATCCAGTTCAAGATCCTGGTCCTCACATACAAAGCCCTCCATGGCCTCACCCCACCCTACCTCTGCGACTTTCTAACCCCCTACCAACCCGCCCGCTACCTCCACTCAGCCGGCTCTGGCTGCTCCATGTCCCCCCACCCTACCCACCATTGGCCGGATAACCTTCAGCCACTCTGCCCCCAACCTCTGGAATTCCATCCCCCAGTCACTCTGCTTCGCCCCCTCCTTAGCCTCCTTCAAGTCTCGCCTCAAGACCCTCCTCTTCGACCATGCCATCGGCCACCCCCCTTCCCTTCCCCTCCCCTGACCCCAGCTCAGATCTGAAATCCAGTGCCTTGTTGTTGTATATAAATGCACGGTTGTTGTTGGATGGGGATAGATTCAGACGTTAGGCTGGGTGAGAAGGTCGGATCCTCTTTGTTGTACAGCTGCTGTTTTTCACAATCCAGTGAAGAAATGGAGCCTGGGGTCTGGGAAGGTCAGAATCTTGTTGGTAACTTTTTTCCCCCCCCCCCAGCCGTTGGAGTTGATCTGTGAAAAGGCCATTGGAACTGCTAACCGTCCTTTGGGGGCAGGAGAGGCTATGCGACGTGTCTTGGAGTGCCTGGCTTCGGGGATTTTAATGCTAGGTAAACCACACAAGCCGACATTTACATAGCGCTCCATTCGTTATCATCAAAAGGTTAACATTTTTAAAAAAAAACTTTGAGGCGTCTCGAAGACATGATGAGGCGCTACATCGAGGATTATTATTATTATAATCCTTGCGTTTGATTATAGCGACTTAACGTTTCATTGAGACATCTCAAAGTGCTTCACGGAATGTATTGTCCAGTGGTGTGACTATGTATTTTGTGGGCGAGACGCAGTAGCCAATTGCGCACAGCAGTGTCCCACAAGCAGTCGTGGATTGAGTGACCATTTTATTTGTATTTTTTTTGGAGGGATTATTACCCCTGGAAAGTGATCCGCCAATCGACTAACAACCGGGTCCCTACTTACTGCTAAGTAAACAGAGGCGTGTGTGGAGTAAGAAAACTTACCTAACATTTTGCCCGGCCCGGGAATCAAACCCAGATCCTCTCGCTCGCGAGGCGAGTGCTCTAACCACTGAGCTATGGGACTCTACTTCAGGACAGCATCCCATACACACTTTGCACTTGGCGTGTTTTCTCAGTGGGAAACAAAGCTTTTACTCTAAAGTCTTCTTTTGGGAATGGGGCCAATTAATATTTTCAGACAAAAGTAAATTTCTCCCATTTCTCCTATCTCTATTGCTTGTTAAAGCCTGAATCTAATGCTGCTCTTTCTTTCAGACGGTCCCGGTATCTACGATCCCTGCGAAAAGGAAGCTACAGACGCCATCGGTGCACTGACCAGGCAGCAGAGAGAGGACATCACACAGAGTGGCCAGGTAATGGCCGCTTGCTCTTTGGGCAGTTTGGGTTCTGAGCTGCTGTCTTGCATTATTGCAGCTGTTTCTCCTTCGAAGCACGTCTCAAGAGCCTCTTTTTCGACCGCTCCTTCGGCCACCCTCCTACCCCGCCCTCGACCCCCCGATCCCAAACACCAGCTCAGGTCCAAATCCCTGACTGTCCACCGCCTTGGGACGTCCTCCCGACCTGGGACGCGCTGTGTAAGTGTCATTTGTTGTTGTTTTAATTGCAATCATTTTCTTCAGCACGCCCTGCGCCTGGCGGCTTTTGGACAATTGCACAAGGTTTTGGGGATGGATCAGCTGCCTTCAAAGCTTCCCAAAAAACCCAAAAACGAGAATCCAGTGGATTACACAGGTAAGCACAGCAAGCTTGGTGCACGGGGGTGGGGGGAGAATGTCAATAGTGACTTTGAGCGTCTGCCAGTCGTGGCATCGAATCACGTTTGTCACAGGTAGTGTTTGGGGATCAAGATTTGGATGGGATTTTCATGCCTTTTATTCTCTTTTCCACTCTGGGTTAATTCGAACGAGTGGCCATTTGATTGGGACTTGACACTGGCTGCTCAGTTAAGGGCTCCCAGCACCTTGGCTGGTTCTCCTGACGTGAAAGGCGCAATACCAATGTAATTTGTTGTTGGCAAAACCTATGCGTTGACCTGACCTGATGCTGGGCAGTGATTGAGTCTCCAGCTTGTCCACCTGCTCCTTTCTCTCCTCCACCCCACTCAGTGTGTGGACAGACACTGTGGCCGATTGTAGTGCCTACACCGTTGCCTGGCTCACATTTGCCCGTTTGTAACCATAGACATCTACAGTGCAGGAGAAGGCCATTCGGCCCATCATGTCTTTGCTATGCGGATCTCTGACTGTCCAGTGCCTTGGGACGTCCTCCTGACGTGAAAGGCACTGTGTAAATGTCATTTGTTGTTGCTGGCTCTTTCGAGCAGTCTTTCCAGTGGCACTTACCTCCCTTTTCCGCAGAGTACAGAAACAGAAGGAGGCCATTCAGCCCCTTGAGCCTGTGGCTGATCTGTACCTCAAGTCCAATTACTCGCACTTGCCCCATAACCCTTAAACGCCCATAAAATATAGTCAATTCACTTAACATTGTATTCTGTGAAGCGCTTTGAGGCGTCTCAAAGATGTGATAAGGCGCTATATCAAATGCCAGGATTATTATTGTTATTACTACCCTGACCTAACAAACCGCTATCTACCTCAGTCTTGAAGATGTGAATGGAGCTGATTCTTTATAAGGTATCAGAGAAGTGGCTAGCGTCCACTGAATCTCGCATCCAAATGTGATGTGTTTTTTCTTACAGTTCAAATCCCTCCCAGCGCATTCACCACACCGATGAAACGCCCCATGGACGAAGACTCTGGTGAGGACAAGTCACCAAACAAGAAAAAAAAGAAGACTCAAAAGAAAGGCAAGTGACAGACCTATGTACAGACACTGAACCCAGTGATTCATGAGTACTCACACGCGCACTCTCACACAAGCACTCTCATGAGCCCTCTCTCACGCGCATCACTCTCACACACTCCCGCTCTCTCACCTCCTCCCTCCCTCACGTGCACACTCACACATGCTCTCTCACACACCATGTAATTCAGTAGTGATGGCAACAATTGTCAAGCGTGTAGAGAGCAGGACAGCAGATTTCTCGAAGCTCAAAGCCACTTTAAATATTGAGTGCACCTTCAGAGAGCACAGACTGTGTAGTGAGGGCACTCAGGGTGTCTCAAACCAGCATCTTAATGGAGCTAGAATTAAAAAAGCTGTGTTGTCCTTACTTTGATCTCTAACCACTCGGTCTCAGTAAACCTGCTTTGAGCTTTGTATTCACTTGTTGTGTCTCGACTACCGGCAGCGTCGGCAGCAACAACGGCAGAGGAGAAAGTGGAGCCTGTACAAGCCATGAACGCATTAATGAGACTTAACCAGTTGCGGCCAGGCCTTCAGTACAAGCTGATCTCACAGACCGGGCCTGTGCACGCTCCCGTCTTCACCATGTCTGTGGAAGTCGACGGTAAAACCTACGAGGCATCAGGACCTTCCAAAAAGACAGCGAAACTGCACGTAGCCGTCAAGGTATGACCCTGCACTGAGCTCACTGCGCTGTGAACCAAGCCCCTTTTCCCCCATCCTGGGGCAAAGCTGGTTATCATAGAATATTATCACACAGAAGGAGGCCTTTCTGCCCATCGTGTCTGTGGCAGCTCTTTGGAAGAGCTGCCCAATCAGTCCCATTCTCCCTGACTCTTTCCCCATAGCCTTGCAATTGTTTTCCATTTCAAGTCCCTATCCAATTCCCTTTTGAAAGTTGTTATTGAATCTGTTTCCACAAACCTGTTTATTTAATGACCGGGTGATTGTCAGGGATGTGATTGTCCAGAACTCTCAGCCCAGTCTGGTATCTGAAAGCTGAGGACTTGTTCTGGAGAAATGATGGCTGAGAAATGATCCCGCGCTTTCAGCCACTACGCCCAAAACTCTGGAACACTCTTCCTCTATCCCTCTAACTTGACCCCCTCCTTCTCCCATCTTCAGGTCGTGCCTGAAGACCTTCCTGTTCGACCGTGCCTACGGTCACCTCCCTCTGGCTCTGTGTCGTACTCCGTCACTGTCAAGTGTTCTGGGATGCTACCCTGCGTAAGGGGCGCTGTGTAAATGCAAGTTGTTGTTGTTGGACTGAAGCCTGGGTTACATTTTATAAATGCCAGTGATTGATCATTCTCCTCTGACTTGGAACCACTTGCTTGGAAGAATCGCTTGGCGTTTTGGTAGCCAGAGACTTGGAGGAAAGCTGTACCTCTTTAGATCTAACTTTTGCCATGTCTCTTGCTAGGTTTTGCAGGATAAGGGTCTTCCGACTGGAGTGGAACCTGAGAAAGTGGAAGAAACTGTGGTTAAAGTGGAGACCAAGCCTGTTACCCCTGTCCCAGCGGCAGTAACCGTAAAGCCCCCGGCATTAACTCCCACAGCTGAATCTGAGGTACTATATTTTCTTGTTTAATGGTAAAGCCTTGCACTTGAAGCACTTTGAGACGTCTCAATGATGTGATAAGGAGCTTTATCAAATGCTATTATTATATTTTATTTTTTAAAACAAGCGTCAGGCTGACTCAGTTGGTAGCACTCTCGTCTCACCTCAGAAGATTGTGGTTTCAAGCCCTGTGTCAGGCCTTGGAATTCGTAATCTAAGCTGACGCTCCAATGCAGCACTGATGGTGTGCTGCGCTGTTGGAGGCCCCGTCCTTCAGATGAGATGTTGATCTAAGATCCGTCTGCCTGTCCAGGTGGATGCTAAAGATCCCATGGAACTGGGTGAAATTAGAAGGGGATTTCTCTCTCTCATCCCCGCCCCGTCTCTGGTGTCCTGGCCAACAGTCCCCTTTGGGACATCCTCCTCACTAGATAAGCCACTGTATCAAATGCAAGGATTATTATTATTTTATTTATATTCAGCTGTTCCATGGGGTGGATGTAGATTATTGTGCCGGTCGGTGTTTCACATCAGCTCTGTTGTAATGGGTATGTGGGGCACAGTAATAAATCTTTATCTTCCCTTCAGAACTCCCGACAACAAGGCCCGATCTTGACGAAACAGGGGAAAAATCCAGTCATGGAGCTGAATGAGAAACGGAGGGGCCTGAAGTACGAGTTGATCTCGGAGACGGGCGGGAGTCACGACAAGCGGTTTATCATGGAGGTGAGACACTGGCAGGTGTGAGTGAGGTGTGAGGGCTCTTTGTTTAATACAACAGCACCAAAATTCTATGCACACAGTGCCTTTCACGTCAGGAGGACGTCCCAAGGTGCTGGACAGTCAAGGATCCGCACCTGAGCTGGTGGTTGGGATCAGGAGGCGGTGGAGGGCGGGGCGGGTAGGGGTACGAAGCTGAAGGCACGGTCGAAGAGGAGGGTCTTCAAGGAGGCGAGGGAAGCGGAGGGACTGTGGCATGGAGTTGCAGAAGGTGGCAGCAGAGAGGCTGAAGGTCCGCCCGACAATGTTGGGGCGGGCAAGGCTGGGGTACATGAGCCCGCTGAGTGGGGATGCGGACAGGTCGGTAAGGGGTTAGCAGGTCACAGGCGTAGAGAGTAATGAGGCCATGGAGGGCTTTGAAGCTGAGGACCAGGATATCGAACTGTATCCTCTTGAGTGATTGGTTTCCGGGGCAACCGGGCGAGGGTGGGGAGGGTCGTGGAGCCTGGTGCCATGATGACATGATGGACTGACTGGAGCTTTGATGCTCCCCTCCCTCTAGGTGGAAGTTGATGGGCAGAAGTTCAAAGGCTCGGGCTCCAATAAGAAAGTGGCCAAGGCCTACGCTGCCCTGGCCGCCCTGGAGAAGCTCTTCCCACACCAACCTCCTGTGGAAGTGAAAAAGAAGAGAATCATACAGGTACAGGTTTTGCTTGGCAACGGGAGCCCGGGCGAGGCCTGTTCTTTTCCTCTGTGACCTCCTCACTCCCTACCAACCTGTTATCCTAGACACTCCGCGAGTGCTGGAGACGCTGGAATAAACAAGGGCAAACCTCCAGGTCGCCGAGTCCATAGGCTGGATTTGCAAAGCAGGCAGGTGTATTGCCTCTGGGGGGAGAGAGAGAGAGAGAGAGAGGGGTGGGGGGGGGGGGCGAGGGTCCGCATTTTGCCCTCCACACCCTATAAACAACACAAGGCATTTACGCGGCACCTTTCACATCGGGAGGACGTCCCGAGGCGCTGGACAGTCATGGATTTGGACCCGAGCTGGTGCTTGGGATCAGGAGGGGTAGGAGGGTGACCGAAGGCGCTGTCGAAGAGGAGGGTCTTAAGATGGAAGCCATACATGCGTGGCACTGTCTTTTGGCCGGCTGGCAGGCAGACAGGCTCTTGAGCCGGGGTTAATGGGTGCGTCATGTTCAACGTTCTTGTCTGGTTGCTGGGTTCCTGAGCGCCTGTAAAGCCTGGAGTTGCTTTTGTCGGACATGAAATGTAGTGAATCTTCTTTCTCTCTCTGCAGCAACCACAGCACCCCCTGGGCTATGGCACCATGGGGATGGGCATGGGAATGGGCGGCCCTCCTCCCGGACCTCCAGCCGTGGGCCCGGTACAGAGGGGCAGAGGTCGAGGTCGTGGCAGAGGGGGCCGAGGGGGGTTCAACGCAGCCAATAACTCTGGTTACATGTCTTCAGGTAAGGCCTGTTCTAGTGCAGTCTTGGTCTCTTCGGCTACCCACCCTCACCCCCCTGCCCTCCACCCCTCCTGACCCCAACTCCCAGCTCGGGTTCAATACCTCACTTAAAAAAGAAATAAAATAAGATGGTCCTTCAATCCACAACTGTTTGTGGGGACGACGCTGTGTGCAATTGGCAGCTGCGTTTCACCCACAAAATATACAGTCAATTCCATTAACAGCGTATCCTGTGAAGCGATTTGAGACGCCTCGACAACTCGATAAGGCCCCGTATCAAATGCAAGGATTGTTGTTATACTTAGCATTTAGCTAAGGTGTTGGGGACTGACTCGAGTCTCTCTGTTTGTCTTCAGGATCGAGTTACGGTGGAGGAAACTACGGATATGGAGGAGGAGGAGGCGGCGGTGGTGGTGGAGGAGGAGGAGGTGGTGGAGGTGGTGGCAACAGTTACGGTTATGGATCTACCAATTCTTCTGGTGGATACGGTAAGAGGAGAAATGTGGATTGTGGCTAACTGCTCCTCGAGGTGTTTAACTTCAGTGAGGTTGCTCCTGTGTGGTGAGGGCTAGAGAGACCTCGGTGTAAAGTCCCTGAGCCTTTCAGCAGGACTCTGAGCTGACCCCAGCCAGGATAGACAGGGAGAGAGAGAGACGATGTGTTGTTTAGGGACACTCCACTTAGCTCCGCAAACCTGTGTCCACTCTTGACTTTACAGTGTGTTCTGTGAAGCGCTTTGAGACGTCTCGAAGCCATGATAAGGCGCTATATCAAATGCAAGGATTATTATTATTATTTACAGTGGCAGATGCCTGAATCTCTTCCACTGCTGTGCGTGCGTGTGTGTGGCTCCTGGCGGCTTCTGGTTTGTTTCTTTGCGCAATCGACACATGGCTCCAATAACCTGACTGCAGAGGTTTAGCTTCCAAAAGTAATGTGCCTGCTGGACGCTCCCGTGTCCTGCATTGGGGATATTCCCTTCTTGTGGCGAACCCAGTGTGCGCCCCGGAAAATAATAATAATCCTTGCATTTGGTACAGCGCCTTATGAGTTCTGCGCTCGCTGAAAGAGCGCCACCTAGTGGTCTGGTAATGAACTGGCTAAGCTTCAGAAGTGAAGCCACGTGTCGTCATTATTATAATAATATAATAATAATCCTGGCATTTGATAAAGTCCCTTATGTCGTCTTCAAGACGTCTCAAAGCGCTTCACAGAACACACTGTAAAGTGACCATTTTGTGGGTGAACCGCGGCAGCTAATTGTGGGGGAGAGTAGTGTCAGTAGTAGTAACAGTCGTGGATTGAAGTGACCAAATTATTATTATTGACACATACACTACCCCACTGCCCCGAACAGTTGTAGATTTGAGTGAACAAATCATTTTTATAAGGGATTATTCCCTCCAGAAAGCGATCCGCCAATTGACTGCTTACTGCCGGGTGAGCAGATGTGAAATGTAGAGGTACACTAACCGCAGTAGTTGTGCCAGATGGAAGTTGAGTGATTTTATTGGTCTTGGATTTCTTTGTGAGTTCATGATGGCCGCCTTTCTGTGAAGACAAACTTTGGTGAACTGAGTGCAAACTTACTTATCACTAAGGAATGGGGGAAAATTGGTATTGATCCAACTTAAAGCTGTATACCCACACCCCCCCTCACACACGCACACACACACCCCACCCCACATACACACACCCCACCCCACACCCCACCCCACACACACACACCCCACCCCAGGCACACACCCCACCCCACACACACACACCCCACCCCACACACACTCACTCGCTCGTGATTGAGTGCTCGCTTTGTCCCTCGTCCCCCCACTCTCCACCTTCAAATCCCGCCTAAAGACCTTTCTTGTTGATCGTGCTTACAATCCTCTCGCCCTTGCTCGGGGTCAAACTCCGCCACTGTTGAGCCCTCCGAGTCGCATGAAGGGTGATATATAAATACAAGTGGTGGTGGTTGTTGTGAGTGGCTTCCTCCTGCCAATTCTATTGCAACCACCAGTCAGTCTGTCTCTGTGCTGGTGTTGGTTCTGAGGTTCCTGGCTGGAGTGGGGTAGTGTCTCATAGGTCGGTGTCGAGCGCCCTCTGGATTCTTGACACCTGGTTCGGAATCGTGCGTGAACCTTGATGGGAGAGTGTCTGTAGACTGTTTAACTGTGGAGGGCATCGCAGCTGAACACGGTCCGTCCTTCACACGTGTCTTCATCTAGTTTGCTATGCAGAGCGCCTTTCGTATTGGCGGCCGGACGCTCTCTGGGACGCTACCCTAAGTGCGGGGTGCTTTATAAACGCCAGGCGGTGTGAGCCGCTTGTGGAATTCTCTGCCCCAAACCAATTTTGAAGCAGAATCCCATCAAAACGTATGAAGGGGGATCGGATGGACATGTGAAAACGAGATGTATTAAAGAGTAATGGGTGTGGGGGAGAGCAGGGTAATGGGGTAACATTTGGTGGCTTGTCTACAGAACCCTCAGCGCAGACTGAGGAGTCTTTCCTGATTCTCAGTAAACTCGATGATTTTATATTTCTCTGCTTTGTAAGCAGACACGAAGCAAGCAACAGTTGTCGAGACACTATCCTCTCTCTCTCTCTCTCTCTCCCCCCCCCCTCTCTATGTGCGATCGAGCCACTTGCCTGTGAAAAAGCCACTTGCACAAGCGGACAGGAGCAGAGAAATCTAAAAAAAAAACTTCAAAAACAACAAAAAAAAATGGCATTTCTTGCCTTGTACCAGACCAGCCTAATTTATTTTTTCTCTGCTCTCTGTCTCCCAACTGTAGGTGACTTTTTCAAAGACAGCTTCCAAGATTTTTCATCTGGCTAGAAGGTCAAAATCGATTTCCCCCAAAACCTCTCCCTCCCACATTGGTCTAATTTCACTTGAAACTCTGACGCCCACAAATCTGTAGACACTTGTCCTGGACTATGTTACTTCATCTGAACTGATTTGTTAACAGGGGCAACCCTCAGACTCTTAATAATGGGCTTGGACTCAGGATTGTGAACCCATTAGGTGGTGGGGGGGGTCCCCCGTTGGTTTGTTGTTTTTGCCAGCGATGATTATCGTCATTAACTCTTGATACCCTTTGCCGCTGCTCAATGAGAGGAGATGGACACGATCCAACAGTGTTTTTTGTGTGTTTTTTTTCTCTCCCTCGGAGGTGCAAGCAAACTGCGTGTTTAGAAGAATTAGTGTGCGTGTGCGAACACAGGAACAAAAAACTTTTTATTCTCGCAAATAGATGCAAATTCCCTCTTTCAGATTTTTTTTTCTATCCATTGTCAACTCCCCCAACAAGAACCACATACCCACCCTGACTCGTGCCAACTGGAGTGTTGAGTTTACATTAAATGCACCGTTGACGTTTACTGCCACCTGTCTTTGGCGCTGTTCGACATTGTGACTGACTTGAAGCCAAGTCTGGTGCGGTTAATAAAGACTCCGTTTTAATGAGGCGACTGGTCATGTTCTTCCTACTTACTGGTCCAGGGTTGTTCCACGTGGACCCTGTCAAGTCCGAGGCAGCTAATGCACGATTAACACTCTCCCTCTGTCTCTCCCTCCGCCTTGCTCTCTCCCTCCATCCACCTTCAGGTCACGCCTGAAGACCTTGCTATTCAACCGTGCCTACGGTCACCTGCCCCTCTCCCTCTGGCTCAGCGTTATGCTGCGCCACTGTCGAGCACTCTGGGACACTATCCCGCGTGAGGGGTCGCTGTGTAAATGCAAATTGTTGTTAGTTCTCACAGCCAAATTGGGGGCTACATTCACTGACTGGAGCCCGGGCTGTATTGTGATTTAACCTCAGGCCAATGTCCAAAGCAGTTTCTCATAACATTGTGGTATTGCTGCGATAGCAGTGGGTGTTGGGTGGAGTTGTTAGTGTCCTGTTCTGCTAAACGGGTGTATTGTTTACCTATATCTTCAGGGAGGCTGTTTATTGGGGAGATGGGTAGGGATCATCCTTGATTGATTGGATGTAAAGGCTGTAAAGTCAATGCCTAGGTTTACACCCCGGAGGGAGGGGGTCGGTCTGCAGTGCTCCATGTGCAGTTATCAGGTGAACTTTTTCAGGTGAATATTTTGACCCACGAAATATACAGTCAATTCACTTTACAGTTTGTTTCCCATAAAGCGCTTTGGGACATTTCGAAGACGTGATAAGGCGCTGTGTCAAATGCAAGAATTATTATTATTGAATCCTGTTACGCGAGGCGCGCGCTCTGTACGTGGGCGGGTGGTGATGCCCTGAATGTCACAGGTTATTGATGCACAAAACCCTGGTTAACAATTAGATACAGAGACAGTAAAGGACAGATCACTTTCCACTGGTGCTTTAGGAGTCATGGTCTGTCACTGACTGAGGTTTGGGTTAACTGGATGCTGTTACTGTTGAGGTAATGCTTTGTTCTTTTGCACATGGTGAGTGTATGTGGGAGGGAAGATCCTTTCAGGTGTGTGAGTATATCAGCAATAAGTCCAGTGAAAGAGAGAACCTTCTCACACAGCATTGTCCCAAATTGTTATTTTTAACCATATTCACTTTCCGGGGGTAATCCGTCCCTCCCCCCCCCCCCCCCCCCCAGAAATTGGTTACTCAATCCGTGACTGTTTGTGGGACGTCGCTGGGCGCAATTGGCTGCCGCCTTTCGCCAAAATACTCAAGTCACTCCACTTTCCAGTATATCCTGTGAAGCGCTTTGAGACGTCTCAATGATGTGATGGCGCTGTATCAAATGCAAGGATTGTTATTCCATTCTACTGGGAAAACAATCTGACGGATTTAATTTGGTCGCTGAGTAAGCGTGTGTTTGTCTTGGGGGGAGAAGCTCTTTCTCCTCGAGTGAATCACTGACCGACAAGTGGTGTGTGTTGGCCCCACCCTCACCCGGCTCCACTGGCTCCCTAACCCCTACCAACCTGTCCGCTGCTCAGCGGGCTTTGGCCTGCTTCACGTCCCCCGCCTTGCTCACCCCACTACTGGCAGGCCGGCCTTCACCCTCTCTGCCCCCACTCTCTGGAACTCCATACCACAGTCCCTCCACCTCATCCCCTCCCTCCTTCCCTGCCTCCCTCACCTCCCTGAAGACCTGTCTCAATACCCTCCTCTTCGACCGCTCCTTCGGTCACCCTCCTACCCTCCACCCCTCCTGATCCCAACCCCCAGCTCGGGTGCGAATCCCTGACTGTCCAGCGCCTTGGGACACCCTCCTGACGTGGAAGGCAGGCGCTGTGGAAATGTGATGTGTTTGTTGTCTGTCTCTCTGGTGAATCACTTACTGACCGGTTGCTTCCCCTCTCAGGTAACTACTACAACAGTGGCTACTCTGGCTCCGGGTCCTCCCCCGGTGGGTACGGTTACAGTCAGAGCGACGAGTACATCACCCCCCCTCCGAAGAAGCCGGTCAAGCCGCAGCCTCCCATGCAGAAACAGTCCTACGGCAGCTCTCCCTCCGGAGGCTATCAGTCCCAGCAATCCTCCTACAGCCCCAACCAGTACAGCAGCTACAGCCAGGCTCCCCTCTCGATCCCCGTCAAGCAGAAGTCCTACAGCAACCAGAACTACTCCTACACGGGCTCCTCCTCCTCCTCCTACAGCGGCTCCTACCCGGGACAGAGTGTGGGCAGCAACATGGACTACGACCGCAAGGGCGTCTCCGTCCTCTCGCGGTTCGGAGAGGAACCAGGCAAGCCACAGCCTCGTCGGAGAACGCGCTGCTTCGTGTTCCCCCCCCCCCCCCACTGTCGGCGGCCATCAGGCCTTCCGCCTCTTGGCCCCTCGTCTTCTGGAACCCGCGGCCCCTCCCTCGCCTCCTTCCGGGCTCATCTCGGGACCTTCCTCTTCGACTGACCGACCGCACTCCCTTCCCTCGGCTGGTTCGCAAATCCTTCTGAGACCTCCTAATCCCCTACCATCCTGCTCGCTCCCTTCCCCCGCTCAGCGGGCTCCGGCCTGCTTCACGTCCGTCGCCTCGCTCACCCCACTATTGGCGGGTGGGCCTTCCGCCACTCTGCCCCCACCCTCTGGAACTCCATCCCACAGTCCCTCTGCCTCATCCCCTCCCTCACCTCCTTCAAGGCCCATCTCAAGACCCTCCTCTTTGAGTGCCTTCGGCCGTCCGCCCGACGCGAAAGGGGCTCACTGTGTAAATGCAGTTTGTTGTCGTCGTTGTTGACGATTCCGACCCATTCCCATTCCTGTCTTGTGAGGCACAGCCATGTACACATGCGCCCACACGCCCCTGAGCTTTACAGTAGATCCAGTGAAACGCTACGAGCCGCTGTGTGACCAGCGCCTGTTACTCCCTGTCCCTGTGTGCGAGACTGACTGTGAGCGATGGTGTGTTACAGGCTACGGTGGCAGCTCGTCCTATGCCTCTGGAGGCACGTCTTCATATTCTTCCAACACACAGGGCGGCTACGGAGGGGGAGGAGGGGGCGGTGGAGGCTCGTACTCGGGTAAGATCCTCGGGTCTCGCTTCAGTGCAGTTCCTGAGGGTTGGAATCAAGGGGGCGGGGGGGGGGGGCGGCAGAGGGCAAGTTCGGTTGGGGGGGAGAAGACTGAAGGCTTGGTCAAAGGGGATGGTGTGTGTGTGGTGGGGAGGGGGTGTAGTGTGTGTGTATATAACGTGTGGAAGGTGGTTTGTGTCTTGTGTGTATAATGCGTGTGGGGGTTTGGGTGTATAATGTGTGAGGTGTGTATGTATAATGTGGAAGGGTGGTGTGTGTGTGTTGTGTATATAATGCGTGTGGGGGTGTGTGTGTGTATAATGTGTGGGGTGGGGGTGTGTGTGTGTAATGTGTGGGGGGGGGTGTCTGCGCGTGTGTGGGGTGGGGGGGGGGCGCGCACCAGTCCTCTCACTCCTAACACTGAGCTGTTGTTCCCTCACAGGCTACCAGTCCCAGGGAGGATATAACGCACCCTCTCCAGGGGGCTACGGCTCCAGCCCAACGTCTTATTCCAACCAGGGGGGTGGTTATGGCCGAGGGGAGCACAGCATGAACGCCTATCAGTACAGATAGAGCCCACCCGCCCGCCGGGGGCTGCCGGCCGACACACACACACACATACACACACACACGCACGCACGAACCCACCTCTTCCCCCCCCCCCCACCACCGCCCCTCGTTCTCTTATTTTCTAACTACTCTCTGTATCTTTTTTCTCGGAGACGCTGCTGATTGGGGAAATCCCCCGTGTGTGTGTGTGTGTGTGTGCGTGTGCGTGTGTGTCTGGGGGGGGGGGGGGTCGTACTCGCACGGACACGGTTTTCCTCACTAGCCCTGCGTTCTCCTGTTAGGGTTCAAGTTTCCCGGCATTCCTGTAGTCAGTCAGTCAGTCAGTGCTGTGCCTCAGTGTCACATTACCAGAGTGAAGACTCGGGACACCCCCCCCCCCCCGACCTCCCTGATGGCCGCGCACACACACACGCACAGTCGGTGACCTGACCTCCCTTTTGTGTGGCTATCTATTTACCTGTTCGGGGGGGGGGGTGTCAGCCTCACGTCAGTCCGTTCAGAGGGAGGGTGTTTCAGTAAGTTAAAGCTGTGAGCGAGGCGTTAAAAGAAGGGCCAGAGAAGAGGGGCTTCGTTGCTTTTCGTCCCGACACACTCTCGTCTGGGAACCTTGTGACTCGGTGCGTAATTCGCTACCGAATTAAACGCACTCCTCCTCTCTCCCCAAATCTGGAGGTTTGATTCACCGCTCACCATACGGAGCGCTGTTCGCTGTTCGTGCTGTAATATTTGATATTGCTCGGCGGCGATCTTGATCTCTTTATTTTTTTTTGCCGGTCTGGGGTTGAAATTCCTGCGCTCCTGGTTCGTTGGCACCTGTAACGGTTCCATTTTAAGGGAAAAAAGCCCCCGCCCGGGTTTTTTTTCTTTTTAAAATACTGCAGCGGATTAATTCCTGGCAAAGCCACCCAACTCGTAGCAGTCAGTCCCGTCTCTCTCTGCCTGGCAGTCAGAAAATGCTTTCACACTCACACTCTCTCCTCTTACTCTCTCTCTCTCTCTCTCTCGTGATACAAAATCTTCCGGATGATTTCTGGAAGTGAAAGCTTTGTGCTTTATTCTTAATTAAAAAAAAAACAATTGTACTGCTTTTTTTTTTGTTAGTTTTATAAAATTGTGTGAATTTTATTTTAAGATACCATGTGTTTTTTTTTGTACTTTATCCCTGTATTAGTTATGACCGTCTTGGAGTTGACATTGCTCATCAAAAGTGGTTGAATAAAAATGTTTATAAATTAAGTGGGGTCTGTGTTTGCCTGTGTGTGGGTGGGTGTGTGTGTGAGCTGTGTGTGTGTGTGCATTTGTATCTCTGGGGTTTCCATGTCTCGGTGCGATTGCAGGGAATTCTCAGCTCGGTTTGGAGATTCTCAAGCAAAGGTGATGGGTTTCCGCTGTGTCGCTGGACCTCCTCCCGACTTAACCAAAACGAAACCTGCAAAGTCATGGACCAGGACAGATTCCCACCGAACTGCTCTCCGCACTTGGTGTCCGAGTGCTCACTCCATCGGGTGTTTTGTGCACATCACAGGGAGACGTCGCACTGTGGCCGCAGTGAACCTCAGGTAAGGAGCGATTTGCATTTTTGCTTTCACACAAAGGTGAGTGTAGCGCTCTCTCTCTCTCTCTCTCTCTCTCCTCATTCACGAGGTCACGCTGATGCTGGTTGCGAAGTTGCCCACTCTCCCCCCCGCTGGGAGCTGGCGTTTGCCGACGGGCCTCACGCTCCCCTCGTAGCCTCGCTGTATTCACACCGGAAGCCGGGCTCCCAGCCCCCACCCCTTCCCGCCACTACTCCAGCCTGACGTTGACGGTCGCCAGGGCCTCCACAGCCCACCCAGGATAGTGCTCAGCACTGCCGTACATCCTCCTCATGAAGCTCTGGATAAACAGCGGGAAACGCTGCTCCTCAATACTGTCCCGGATCGCACTCATGAGGTGCAGCTGCAAACACAGGGAGCGGAGCTCACAACACACTGCACTTTGGTAATAGCGCCTTTAACATCAGGATATCCCAAGGCACCCGCCCCACACCACCCGCACCCCCCAACTACCCCCACACACACCACCCGCACCCCCCAACTAACCACACACCACCCGCACCCCCCAACTAACCCCACGCACACCACCCGCACCCCCCAACTAACCCCACGCACACCACTCGCACCCCCCAACTAACCCCACCCGCATCCCCCTACTAACCCCACACACACCACCCGCATCCCCCTACTAACCCCACGCACACCACCACCCCCACACACAAATCCAACACATAACCCCCCCCACACACACACACACAACAAATTTGCCGCTATTGCAAGTTTCACATAACTCATGATTCGCATAAGTTACATTAAATGTCTGGTCCCGACCGATGCAACTTGTGTGAGGTTCTAGGTAGCGAATCACAGCAAGACCGGTATCCCCTCCCCCCCCACCCCCACAAACACCCCCACATCTCCCGAGCTCCAGTCCAGCTCAGCCTCTCACACCAGCTCCTGGGCCACTCACCTGGTAGGCGATGTTGTGGATGGTGATGTGGTGAAGAGCAGCTGTGTCACTTTTGTAGAGGGTGTGGAGATAAGCTCGCGTGTACCTGGGACACACACAGCCCAGCGTCACGTACACATCAGCCCAGTGGCGCCTAATAATCCCTTCCAAAAACTAAACCAATAACGCGGTCATTCAATCCACGGCTGTTTGCGGAGACGCTGCCGCGTTTCACCCACAAAAAACAGTCAATTTCACTTGACGGTACATTGTGTGAAACACTTTATTTAATGAGACGTCCCACGGCCTGACTCTGAGCTCAGTCCGTGCCCTGTTCAGGCAGATGCGGGGCTGTTGGTAAAAGAGAAGGGAGTTTCTCTCTCTCCCCCCTATCCCCCCCACTCCCCGGTGTCCTGGCTGACAATCCACCAGTTAAATTGGTCGCTCATTTCATGGCTGCTTTGTGGGACAATGCTGTGCGCAAAATGACAGTGCCGAGGCCGGGCAATGAGGTGTGAACTTTAGTGCAGACAGACAGACAGACGCTGACAGTCTCACCTCTGACACGTGGGGCAGTTGCACTCGGTATCGATGGGCTGGAAATCCTTGGCATATTGTTTGTTCTTCAGCTGGAGCGACCCCCAGGGCACGAGAGCAGAGCCGAACCTCTAAGAAGACGGGGACGAGAGGTTAGAAAGCTCAGCGCTGGGGGGGGGGGGTCAGAGAGCAAAGAGAGGCTTTCATCGAGACCTCAATTCATCCGGCTCAGCGTCCTGCTCCGCCACTGTCGAGCGCTCGGGGACATTACCCTGTGTGAGGGGCGCTGTGTAAGGTTCAATCACTACACCAGCAGCCGGCAGGCCGGTCAGTCTCTGCGAAGGTCACCGAGGAACACTCCCCCCCCCCCCCCCCCAGCTAGTGTAGTGACTGTGAAACTCGTTGTATAAACTTACTGCTGTCCTGGTGGGGAAAACGCAGTCAAACATATCACAGCCCAGAGCCACACAGACGACGAGATCGGTCGCATATCTGCACACAGAGAGAAACGGTCTTTAATCTGAGCTCTGCAGATCCCAGACAGGAATCGGGCTGAGACGTCTGGTTAAACACGGCCACATAAACCCCAGAAACATGGCTCCCAAACTGACCATTGTCCAGCCTCAGCTTTAGAGGAACCTGTTCATGTAACGCCCAGGGGCCGGTCATTTTAAAGACAACATGGGTAGGGGTCCCAGCATCGTTGCTCTAATAGCATCAAGTGTGTGTGTGCGCGTGTGTGCGCACGCTGTGGCCTCCTACCCTACGCCCATGAGGTAACGGGGTTTCTCTCGCGGCAGGAAGTCAGTGCTGAGCGTCACCATCTTCCAGAAGTCGTCCTTCTCCTCCCCCCCACTCAGCCCCCCGATGGCAAACCCCGGCACATCCCGCTTAATCATCTCTGAAATCACAAAGAGAGAGAGGGGGGAGGGGGTCACCACAGAGAGAGAGAGAGGGGCGTATCAGCACAGAGGGGGGGGGGTCAGCACAGAGAGAGAGGGGTATCAGCACAGGGGGGGGGGGCTCAGCCCACAAAGAGAGAGAGAGGGTCAGCACACAGAGAGAGGGGGGTATCAGCTCAGAGAGAGAGGGAGAGGAGGGCTATGGAGGATTATTATTAATCCCCCCCCCCACCAGCGCTCACTGACCTGTCAGACACACTCGCCTCAGCTCAGCGTTCAGTCCCCCCTGAATGATGGCAAACAGGTTCTGTTTTTCGAGGTTCCTGTTGGCTGCGATGCAGCGATCCAACCACCGGATAGACCTGACAGGAGAGACAGTGATCCAGTCAGCCAGTGGCCTCCCCTCCCCAGCTGTTACCTGTGGATGCCTACCCCCCCCCCCCAACCACCTCTCCCCCCACCCCACCCCTCCCTGGTACCTGTACATGGCCTCCTCCACCCGGGACCCCGAGATGGTGCTGCTCACAACATCGTCCAACTGCATCATGATGTCCGAGCCTGAGCCGGGCAGGAAACACAGTGAGAGAGATGGAGAGAGAAACGGAGGGAGACGGAAGCAGTCAATTCCCCCCCCACCCCCCCACCCGCCCCCCAACATTTGTACAGCGCCTTTCACGTGGGGAGGACGTCCCAAAGCAGTGGTGTGCGCGAGTAACTGCGGTATCAGTGGAACAGATGGACACGACGCATCAATTTTACCCAAAACCTCTGTGCGGTGTGTGTGTGTGTGTGTGTGTGTAAGAACAGAACCTCAACCCTATAGATACCGAGGAGGTGGGAGATCAGCAGCTTGGGCAGAGGGGGGGGGCAGAGGGGGCGGAGTGGGGGAGGAGGGTGGGGGCAGAGGGGGGGGGGAGGAGGGTGGGGGCAGAGGGGGGGGAGGAGGGGGGGGCAGAGTGGGGGAGGAGGGTGGGGGCAGAGTGGGGGGAGGAGGGGGGGCAGAGGGGGGGGGGGGGAGGGTCAGTCACTATGTTACCCAGAGCGTTCTGGATGTGGATGGATTTCTCCGGTGACAGGAGGGTCTCTTTGCCGTCGTACGGGGAACAGAAACGCACACCTTCCTCCGTCACCTCCGACAGCTCCACCAGAGACACCATCTGAAAACCCCCACTGTCCTGAGCACAGACAGAGACACAGACAGACCCGTCAGGAGCCGAGTGACCTGCAAACAGCCCCCTCCCCCCCCCCCAACAACCCCCCCTCCCCCCCCCCCAACAACCCCCCTCCCCCCCAACCAACGCCCCCCTCCCCCCCCCAACAACCCCCAACAACAAGAACACATTATATTTAAGATAAGAGCAGCAGTCGCTGTCCCCCTCTCTCTGTAGATGCCGCCTGACCCGCGGGCAATTAATCACAGAGGCTTTCACGTGTGGGAGGACGTCCCAATGCCGCGTGTGTGTGTGTGTGTGTGTGTGTATGTCTGTGTGTGTGTGTGTCTGTGTGTGTGTGTGTGTGTGTATGTCTGTGTGTGTGTGTGTGTGACACAACGCGCACTCCCCGACCCCGGTGACACCCCTCCGGGCTAACCCGCGACCCGGTGCGCAGTCCGCGCCTCACCGTCAGCAGCGCTCGCTTCCAGTTCATGAAGCCGTGCAGTCCCTTCGCCTTCGTGATCAGCTCCGGGCCCTGTGGGGGCGAGAGGGCAAAACCGCGCTTACTGTCGCGTCAAAACGTCGCCCGGGAAACCGCAGCGGCCCGTCAGGGCGGGAGAGCAGAGTGGGGGGGGGGGGGGGGCATTGTGAAGCGGGGGGTGGGGGGGGGGATTGTGAAGCGGGGGGTCCGCGGTGGGGGAGAGAGCGAGAGAGAGAAACCCCTTCCCCCCCCCCCCCCCCCCGGGGACTCGCGTGGCCGAGGTTGGGGGCTGGGGGTTGACCGGAGGGCCGGGTGCGGCCCGCGGGCCGCGGCAGGCTGACTCACGGGCCGGTTGCCCAGGTGGTAGGTGTTGCCGAGGCAGATCTGACAGTCCAGGGCCTCCAACTGCCCCGCGGTGATGCCCTTCAGGGTTCCCTGGGTCCCCACCGGCATGAAGACGGGGGTCAGGACCGTGTGGTGCGGGAGGCGGAGGCGGCACAGTCGGGCCTTGGTCACCCGGCACTCGGCCACGAGCTGCAGCGACAGCGGCGCCGCCATTTTCCCGCCTCGCACTTCCCGCCCACAGACCGGAACCGGAAACCGCGCCATGGCAACCGCGGCGCCTGGCAACAGGAAGCGTGGTCCATGCCTGGTCCTTGGCAACCAACTCTCCTGGCAACCAGACCCCTAGTAACCAAACCCCTCCCACCACCGGCAACCAGACCCCTAGTAACCAACCCCCCCCCCCAGCAACCAGACCCCTAGTAACCACCACCCCCTGGCAACCAGAACCCTAGTAACTAACCAAATCCCCCCCCCCCAGCAATCGGACCCCTAGTTACCAACCACCCCCCCCCCACACCCAGCAACCAGAGCCCGAGTAATCAACCCCTCCCCCCCCCCCGGTAACAAGACCCCCAGTAACTAAACCCATCCGACAACAAGACCCCTAGTAACGAGGCTCCTGGCAACCAGACCCCCTGACAACTTGTCTCCAAGACAACGTGGCATCCAGACCCCATGGGAACCACATCCCATGGCAACCAGGCCCCTGGCCCTTAGCAACCACATCCCATGGCAACCAGACCCCACGGTAACCTGGCTGTGGTCCCTGGCTCTCATTGTGGAAGGCCAGGCCTGGGGGAAGCCTGGCAATAGTGGGGACGGAGTGGAGCAGAGACAGGAGCAAGACCCACCCGGTTTACAGGCTGAAGTGTGGTTTGTCCCCTGCTCCCCCAGACCCGCGACCCTACCACCCGACCTGGGCCCCAGACCCCAGCCTGTGATGGCACCAAGGTCCCCAACCATTATATCTGGGGGATTGTCAGCCTGGAAACCGGGAGAAACTCTCCCTCTCTTCCTACAGTGTCACCGTATCTTTGACCTGTGGCGGACAGGAGCGCAGGTTACTGTCACCTGAAGGACAGCGGCTCTGACAACGGAGAATCTTCTGACCCAGAGGTGAGAGGTAACTACACTTCACAGTATATCAGGTGCAACGCTTTGAGATGTCTTGACGACATGATTGATGAGATGCTATGTCAAATGCAAAGATTATTGATTGATTCCCATTAATATTCTTTCTATTTGCTGACACAGCCGGTTAGGAAGCCTGCAACAGACACGAAATGGAACTCATCCACAAAGGAAGTCTTGAAGCCAGGAGCTTCCCATCAATGAAGGTGGGTAATTAATTAATTGATCAGTTTATTGAGCCTCTTTGGACTGGGCTGGGACAGCCTGGTTCCATCTGGTTTTGATATTAATGGTATAAAAGCCCACATGCAAAGCGAGAGGCTTCAGTTATGTCTGGGGGATGTTACTTTAGGGATGTGTGTGAGAGAGCAGCAGAACCAGAAGGTTAAATGCTGTGGTAAGTAATGTGCCAAAGAGTTTACTATTTGAAAGGAATGACAACCCTTCGGAATTCATCCCACAGTCCCTCCGCCTGGTCCGTTTGCGTTGCAGCTAACAGGACAAGGCAGCGTGGAGGAATGGAGCCGGTGATCCCCGGTCCCCAGCAGCTGACGGAGGGGGCAGTTCAACGCATCAAGACGAGCTGGAACCTGGAAGTCCAAGCCCTGCAGGAGAAGCACAGTACCCAGGCCGTCCAGCTACGACAGGACCCGGCGTATTACAAGCAGCAACTGGAAAAGATCCTTCACGGTGAGGAACAGGAGGCAGGTGGGCCTTCAGCCTCTCTACCTCCACCCTCTCTACCTCCACCCTCTGGAACTCCATCCCACAGTCACTCCGCCTCACACCCTCCCTTGCCTCCTTCAAGACCTGTCTCAAGACCCCTCCTCTTGTACTCCGACCCTCCCCACCTAACCAGCTCAGGTGCAGATGGAACCCTGACTGTCCAGCGCCTTGGGACGTCCTCCTGATGTGAAAGGTGCTAAACAAAAATATGTTGTTACTGTTTACTAACTCACTCACTGATAATAGTGTTTCTGTAGATTAGTTTTATTTGGGATTTACCTCCCCTTCAATCGCAACCATTGTAAAAAAAAATCAGCTGCCGTGTTTCACCCACAGAATACAGTCACTTCACTTTACAGTCTACTCTGTGAAGCGCTTTGAGACGGGATAAGGCACTGTATCAAATGCAAGGATTATTATTATTATAAACCAGATTTTTTTNGTCTCTTTTTCAGTTAAAGCTCAGCTTCCCCTTCACTCAGACACGGAGAGTTTCCTGGCGCACAACCCTTCTCCTGCTCGCTGTCCGCAAGCCTGCTGTGGCGTTACCGGGGAAGTGAGGTGAGTGAGTGAACCTTTTAAAACAAATAGACTGCTTGGTATTAAAGCAGAGCTCAGCTCCAGCACTGTTTCCTGAGTTGCTCAAGCCCTGACCTTTAATTACCTCTCAAAGGCAGATTCCCAGGACCCCAACTTGCATTTACACAGCACCCTTCATGCCGGGTAGTGTCCCGGAGTGCTTAAGAGTGGCGGAGTCTGACCCCAAGCCAAGGGGGCGAGGGAGGGGAGGGGGAAGTGACCCTAAGCACTGTCAAAAAGGAAGGTGTTTAGGCAGGTTTTGAAAGTTGGCAGGGCGGAGAGATTGAGCAAGAGAGTTTTGGGGCGTAGTGTCGTCAGCCGAGCGGAGGCAGCAGGTGGTGGAGTGGGGGGGGGAAGGATAAGCAGATCGGAGAGGCGCAGAGGTGTCAGGGCAGGCAGGGAATTGAAACCAAGGTGGCTCAAGACAGGAGCTCCTTTGCCTCTGTGGCAGGTTAGTGCAGGCCTGGGCACTGCGCTACCCTGTAAGAGATGCTGTGCTTTGGATAAGAGGGTTGCAGTTGCAGAGCCAGTGTAGCTTGTCGGGCTGAGCGACTTCTGTTCCGAGCTGTATTCTCGCACGTGACTGGTTTGTGCGTCTCTGTTGTGTGTTCCTAGCCGCTTGGTGTCACCGCTGCCCGGAGATCGAGAACGAGCGCCGAGGGCTGAGCGAGCCGTGGCAGGAGGCCAGGGGCGGAGGCAGGACACGGTGAGGCAGCCCCCAGCTAGGACTCTCTACGGGGAGATGCAGAAAGCCATGTCCCTGCAGCAGAGACGACGGGCTGTGCGAGCGACATCGCCAAATCCCTCTCCCAGCTCGGCAACATCCTGCAGTCGGTGTCTCTCGGTTCCTCACCGTGCTTCGTCGATGGCTCACTCAGGTACACACCGCAAGCACATGTGCTTCCACATTCATTCACTCAATCCACGACTGTTTGTGGGACGCTGCTGTGCAGAATTGGCTGCCACGTTCGCCCACACATCAGTCACTACACTTTACAGTGTATCCTGTGAAGCGTTTGAGACGTCTCGATGACATCTTGATAATAATAATCCTCGCATTTGATACAACGTCTTATCACGTCTTTGTGACGTCTCAAAGCGCTTCACAGGTTATGCTGTGAAGTGAATTGACTGACGTTTTATGGGTGAAATCTGATAAGGCGCTATATCAACTGCAAAGATTATTATTCCTCTGCGTCCATCAGCGAGAGACTGTGGCCACCTGCTCCCCGTTCTCTTATACAGGGACTCAATGTGGGAACAGCTGGGAGCTGCGGGGGGCTCGAGTCCACGAGAAGCCAGGCGGGAGACAAGAAACCGGAGTCGGGACAAAGCGAGCGGAGGGGAAAGGATTCTGCGCCGAGGTCAGCCATCGCCGCGAGGGGAGCAGCACCGCCCACTGTCAGCGCCCAGCACCGGCCTGACCCGCCGTCAGGCCTCCGCGGACACCAGCTCCGAGCTGCCGGGAAACAGGCCCCAGAAACGCAAGGTCACGTGGGCTGACCCCATTGTCGTCTCCTGGCCTCGCTCCTCCCGCTATCCGACTTGGCAATGAGGGGGCGTTGGGGAATGGCTGGGCTAACGTGGGATCTCTGTGCCTCAATCGGTGAGCAATGTGAAGTGGAACAGAATCTCTCTACATATCAAAAAGTCGTGATATCTACCCTATTATCTAAAATAAACATAATTTCTTTAAGACTTATCAGATATTGTAACGGTATCACGGCTTTTTGGCTCTGCAACTGCACCCTGTATATATTTACTTTAAACTGTCTGAATACGTATTTGATTTATATTGTGTGTGTGTGTGTGTGGAGGGGGTGGGGTGGGGGAAAGGGGGTGTGTTATGGTTCTGAACTCTGCCTTTCAGCCTGTCTGCATATTTTGTGTTCACGCAAAGTAACACTCACTGAATCCACAAAACCCACAGACTCCTGTGAATGCAACACAACTGTTTATTTACTAAGCAATAAATTTATGTACCCTAATTTCCAACTCGGTTTTACGTCTCATCCAAAGGGTGGGAGTGGGGGTAGGGGGGTCTCTCTCCCTATGTGGGCATTACACGCTCTGGGTGGAGGAGGGTGATTCTGTCTCTGCGTGTGCGCGTTTGTGTGCGTGGGTAGGGATCTCCCTGTGTGGTTGGGGGGCAGGGGTGTCTCTGTGTGGCTGGGTGGGGGGGAGGTAGGGGTCTCTCTGTGTGGCTGGGTGGGGGGTAGGGGTCTCTGTGTGGCTGGGTGGGGGGTGGTGTGGGTAGGGGTCTCTCTGTGTGGCTGTGTGTGGGGGGTGTGGGTAGGGGTCTCTCTGTGTGGCTGTGTGTGGGGGGGTGTGGGTAGGGGTCTCTCTGTGTGGCTGGGTGGGGGGTGGTGGGGGTAGGGGTCTCTGTGTGGCTGTGTGTGGGGGGGTGTGGGTAGGGGTCTCTCTGTGTGGCTGGGTGGGGGGTGGTGTGGGTAGGGGTCTCTGTGTGGCTGTGTGTGGGGGGGTGTGGGTAGGGGTCTCTGTGTGTGGCTGGGTGGGGGGTGGTGGGGGTAGGGGTCTCTGTGTGGCTGGGTGTGGTGGGGGGTAGGGGTCTCTGTGTGGCTGGGATGGGGGGGGTCTTTCACACACAGGAATAGGGAGAGGGAGAGAGAGAGAGAGACACGTGGCCGCTCAGGCACCTGCAGTGAAGGCCAAGGCACCTTCTGGTGGGAGAGGGAGGGCTTGACATCCAGGCGCAACCTAACTTGACGCCAGCGAGAGGGCGGGGCTCTGCGTGGGGAGGCGTGACGGGCAGCCCGGCCCGACCAATGGAGCGCGGGGGAGGGGCGGAACCGACCAATGGGGGCGGGCGGGCGGCGGCACGTCGGGTCCGCGGCGCGCTATAAGAGACGCGGCGCCGGGCGCTCGGCCGCCAGTCAATGTCGGCGAGGATGGCGGGCGACGCGGCTGCAAAGGCCGCCGCCGAGAGGAGGCTCCAGCAGCAACGGCCTTTCCTCATCGCCGTCAGCGGCGGCACGGCCAGCGGCAAAGTACGTAGAGCGCGCGAGAGAGAGAGCGGTTTTAAGAGGGGGGGGGGGGGGGAAAGAAAAAAAAAAACCCCGTTTACCTCAGGGTTTTTGACCCCATTCGTTCCTTTCGCTCTGATTTTTTTTTCTCTCTCTCTCTCGCCGCTCTCTTCGTCATTTGGCCGTTGGAAAGAGCCGCGTGGACGGACGGGCGGACGCTGCGGCGCATGCGCACTGCTCCCTCCTCCTCCTCCTCCTCCCCCCCCCCCGCCGCCGCCGCGCGGAGTGATCGGGTGGCACTTCTTTTCCCCCCTCTCTCTCTCTCTCCCTCTCTGGCTCGGCGCGCATGCGGGTGATGAGGTCAAGGACGAGTCGCGCGCGTGCGCACGCGCGCCCCCCTTCCCCCTCCCCCCCCCCTTTTTCTCTGGTCGGTGTGTCTCCGCTCCGCTCGCTCTCTTTTCTTTTTTCCCGACCCCGCCCCGATTGATGGTTCGTTGTTTCACGTGCGCGGCCGTCAGGTCAAGAGCGGGCGGGCGGGCGGGGGGGAAGGGGAGACGAGGAAGCAGGTGGGAGGGCTCCTTGCTGCAGACACCTGGTCACCTGTGTGTGTGTGTGTGTGTGTGGGGGAGTGAGTGTGTTGTATATTTTTTTTCTTGGATTCTCCCCCCATTTGACTCCTTTGTGTGCGCGGATGGATGTTACGCCGAGGAGGATTTTCGGTTGTTATTTTCGAGGCGCGGGGAAAAAAAAAAATGACACCGGGGGCGGGTGTGCGCGTACGTGCTATGTACGGTCCGCGTGGCCACGCGCCGCGCTTGCGTTCGGGGTACGGCGTCTTATCCCCCGCCCTCCAGGCGCCCCGAAGCGCTCCGCGGCCCTGACAGCAACGGCGGTGGACAGCCCCCCCGGCGTTCGACCCCGGCGGCCTCGAGCCGTCCCGCAGCGCTTCCCGGCATCCGCCGCGCCGCCCGGTTGCGCTGCCCCCGACGCGTGCCCGCGGGACGCCCCGCCGGTCGGAGTGACCCCGATTTGTTGTTTTAGGGCGTTACTGTCAAGCGGGCGGGACTGTGTATTGTGGGGGGTGGGTGTGCGGGGGGGAGGCCCCGAGTGAAACGTTTTCGCCGCCGGTTCGGGTGGGCGTGTTTGAGGCGTCTCGAAGCGCCTCGCGGAACGTACTGTTGGGGTGCAGTGACTGTCCGTTTTGTGAGCGCGAAGGTAATCCGGGTCTGTGGGTGACCTGATTTGTGGGCGGGAGTGGAATGAGGACTTTCACAGCCAATATCAGGGGAAGGAGATTATTGGAGAGCCGCTGGATGGCAGACTGACTGACTGACTGACTGACTGACCAGCTTTATGGCAGCCACAAATCACAATTAGTACAGTAGTTCCCTGTGGTTGATTGCGGCTGCTTTCTGTCTGGTATATCTAGTTCTATCTGGAATCCTCCAGCTCAGTGGTTAGAGCAATCGCCTCGCAAGCGAGAAGACGGGTTTGAATCCCGGTAGGCGGGAACGTTGGACAAGTTTCCTTACTCCACGCGCTTCTGTTGACCCGGTAAATAGGAACCCGGTTGATAGTCGATTTGTGGATTGCTTTTCCGGGAATAATAATTCCTTAACAATCACTGAATCCGCGACTGTTTGTGAGTCACTGCTGTGCACAATTGGCTGCCACGTTTTGCCCACAAAATATACAGTCAATTCACTTTACAATCTATTCTGTGAAGTGCTTTGAGCTGACTCAATGACATGATAAGGCACTACATCAGATGCAAGGATGATTATTATATCAGGGGAAGGAGATTAGATAGCCGCTGAGTCTGTGTTAGCCACAAATTGCAACTGGTGCAGTAGTTCTCTGGTTTATTGCCAATGCTTTCTGTATGGTGTATCTCAACGCTATGTTGATGTGGTTTGTTTTTTTTTGCCCAGTCCTCGGTGTGTCAGAAGATCGTGGAGCTCCTGGGGCAGAACAAAGTGGACCAACACCAGAGGCAAGTGGTGATCCTGAGCCAGGACAGTTTCTACCGGGTGCTGACGGTGGAACAGAAAACCAAAGTCAGTAAAGGACAATACAACTTCGATCATCCAGGTACCCTGCCCTACGCAGCCTGACAGCTGAGATACACAAGGATAATAATAATAATAATCCTTGCATTTGATATAGCGTCTTGATCACGTCTTTGAGACACCTCAAAGCACAGAATATACTAAAGTGAATTGACCGTATATCTTGTGAGCGAAGTGCGGCGGCCAATTGCACACAGCAGAGCCTCCACACACAGTCGGGGATTGAGTGTGCCCAGTGCAGTCTGACCTCCTGGTTTGTTCCCACGCAGATGCCTTTGACAATGAGCTGATACTGCGGACCCTCAAGGACATTATCAGCGGCCGAACGGTTCAGATTCCTGTCTACGATTTTGTGGTTCATTCTCGGTACGCACAGGCTTTTTTTTCATTTTTCCCTCTTGACTCTGTCTATGCTTCTCTCTCTGCCCTGTGTCTCTCTCTCTCTCTCTCTCTGACTTTGTCTTTCTCTCCCTCTGTCTCTGTACCTGGTGCTCAGTCTCTCTCTGCCTGTGTGTGTGTGTCTCTCTCTCTTTGCTGTGACTCACACTCTCTCTGTCTGTGTGTGTGTCTTTCTCTCTCTGCTGTGACTCACTCTCTCACTCTCTGGCAGGAAGGAGGAGATGGTGACGGTTTATCCGGCTGATGTGGTTCTGTTTGAGGGGATCCTGGTTTTCTACT